TGTCGGTGATATTTAATACTACCTGCACATATATAGAAGAAACATACTCAATACACGTTCAAATGTATATAACAATTTACTCGAACAATACCAAGCATGATAAAAAGGAAAGGTAAACTTAACCACAATAATTGCTTGATAATGAATAAAAATGTTTCAAACTAGATCTTGTGTCCTTTTTCCTTTCAAAGTGGTGTCTACAAGTAGTCTTTCTTTAAAGGGCAAGCAACATCATCTGCCCGCTGTCAAGGAGGTCATGCAATGAAAACACGTGAAAACAGCAAACTTCGCTAGATGTAAGCTATCACTCCCCTACTTACCGCAAGAAAAAAAAGACACATACGCGGACACACACACACACACGCGCGCGCGAGCACACGCATACACACATACACATAAACATAAAGTCGTAACAAAACTATACCTTCATTTTCACAAGTTAGAAATCTTGGCCGTACTGTCTTAATTTTATGGAAGACATCCTCTGGAGACCTACTGACTAGTGCGCGCGGGCGAATTTAAAAAAGAACAGCCAAAAAAAAATGCTGCTTAACCACAGGAATACAAACCTGGCATTGTAAATTTGCGGTACTTTATAGCCACTTTTACGACAAGCCGACACATGCTGACCTGTACTGATCATGGGTTATTGAGTTCCGTGGAGCTTCGGCAGCCTGGGTGCCGTCCTCCGTAGTTGCCGCCGGCTCCCTAACGTCCCTAACTACCGGATTACGGAGCCAGAGCCTCGGAGGAGGTGTCTTTTTTGTTGAGAAAAGGCGAAAATCAATGCGCGCGTGGATGTCATCCATAAAACTGAATCAGAGTGGCCTTACCTGACGATGTGTCCGTTGTGTAAGAACGTAAGTTGGCGTGACGCTTCATGTTTTCGGCCGGGCCAGTTCCGTCCAGCGGAGCCGGCTCAGCTTGCCTCAGCCGGGGCCCCTGTAGTTTTACCGCCTCGGCGGCGTCTTCGTAGGTGTCTGAAGACGTTTCTGGCTCCTGCTTCACGCCCGAACCGTCATATCCATGGCGGACACCCCCGCTAGGACCACCCTGATGACCAGCCGACGGCGGCCCGCCCGTTGGTCGGTTACCGGACCTTACAAATCCGGCATAGACACTTTCATTCACACGCTCGGCTTGTTCGTACATTTTGCACCGTACTAGCAGGTAACGGGTGTACAGTCTACAAGAGAAAGAGCTATCTGTGTATGAATATAAATATGAAGAATAACGATTAGTCTATACACGTGGTAAGTTTGCCTTTACTTGCCGTTTTCCCATGATGCATAGCGCATAGCTTCAGAGAAAAGGTTGCATAACGACATACTGTTGACGTCATACAGCTTGTTTTTCTGTTTGAGTTGCTGCAGCATTTTGTGTCCAAAATTGAGTGAATTACTGCAGGTCGAATCTAAAAAAAATAGAGTGTGACATTCATGTTCTTTTGTTTTCTAGTACTAAACATGGAACATGTGGTTCATAACATTACTGTTTACAGTGGTAACGTTGGACCGTCTGCCAGTAGAGATATTATTGCTCGAAATAATTCAAAATATGTTTTAGTATACAAATATCAAAGGATAAGGATTTGTTATAATTCTAGATTCTGTCATCAACAAATATAATGCTGATGTGCATAATTCTGAATCTATGGCGCTATGCATCCTGGGAATGAGATAACGGTAAATAGTCTACAACAGCAAGAGATTTGTACATGTATAAATAATATAGGTGTGAATATGCAAAAAAATATGAATAAATAAAAATCACGACTAGTCTGTACACGTGGCAGGTTTGCCCTTATAACTAAGGCCATGTTGATTTGATTATATGGATGACATCCGCGCGCGCATGAATTTTCGGCCGTTTCCAAAAAAAAAAGTTTTCAACCATACTGTAAATCGTACAAAACAGTTGCAAAATGAGCAAAAATATACCGTAAGTTACAAAAAAACCATACCAATGTCGTAGAATGCCAAAATCAAACGAAAAAAGACGAAATTGTAAAGAAATGAACTTGAAGACTAGATTATTCGCCAAACCATTTGTTCAACCCTCATGACCATGTAGATTTAATAATGAAAACAACTTTTTTTTTTTGCAAAACTTTTTTTTATTCGCACGCGCGCATCAGTTTTGGGGTTCCCGGAGGATGTCATCCATATAATCAAATCAACATGGCCTAATAATCGGTAACCTGGTGCACATGTGACTCGGTATAGAGGAATTTTGTTTTTCGAAAAGTGGCAGACTAATTTTCGGGGAAAATAAGTAAATCTAATCTAGGAGCAGCGGAGTTTAAAAGAGTATTTTGCATTTGCTTGAAAACTATTAAATTGATTGAGAATTTTCCAACATAATATGTTTACAAAAAAATGAGAATTTAACTTTACTTACAAATGTACTAGTCTATCTTGGTTGTGTATCCTTAACTAATATTCTCAACCCAATAGAAAATTATATCTTTTAGTTAACAAAAAGATAATTCGTCTTTTTCAGATAAATTATAAAAATTATAGGCCCTGAAGTTATTGATCACTAAAAAATCATTGAATTTTGCAAATTGTAAAAATGGAACATTTCAAAACTATTTTTCAAAAGACACCCCCTTAAAAATTGCTAATTCCAGAATGCCTGATACAATGGACTAATTCAAGTCTTAATGGATTTTTTCGATGTCTAAAGTTTATGGTTGAGATAATTTTGTAGTACAGTAGCAATAAATTTATTATCTGTAATTTACAGTATTCAACCATCACTATAGTCTAGATATGCTTCGCAAGCAAGAATGGATTTTTCAGCAGTATAGTGTACATACATGTACATGTAATAAGTCTGGATGTGTTCTGCCTTTTGTCCAACAAATATTATCTTAAGTCTGCTATAAATGTTTGTGTCTTTTTCTGAAAAAAAAAAAGATGGTTTTGGGGACATTTTAATTGGTGCTGTGGCTTAACCATTAAAATAACACGGGAAGCATAAGTTGGATACACAAAAAAAATTGGTCATAAATATATAGTTTCACAAAATAGAACAACTTCAATATGCAGTTATAAAAAAAATTATTCAGCTGAGAAGAAATCCATGTGTCTTTCATGACAACAAAAGATACATCACATAACCCAAAATGTTCCATAAATTCATAGTATTCATAGAATGTAAATCATTTTTTAATATTCAATTTTAAAAGGTACATGCAAAATAACAGAATTCATTTCTGTAGTCATATTACTGGTCTAGAATTTTATCACTGAGGGCTATCCTAGTTACTTAGTAATATATATTGTTACAGTACATGTGTGTGTGTGTGTTTACATGTACCTGTATACCAAGAACTAAGAAAATGTTCCTTGTGCTAATGTTCTTACATTATATCAGTCAACCAGTTCTGCTTAACATGTACACTATATGACACTATTAGTAGATGTATATGACCCCAAAAATGTACCAAGTAACTATCAAGTTTGCGAACTATTACTTTTTCCATGAACATACAGTTCATGCTACTATGTCAAACATTTTGGAGTCTATGAGTAAATCCATATAAGTAAGAAAACAATCATAATGGTTTAATATGAATAAGCACAGAAATGAGCACAGCAACAGTCCTTCTAAAAAGTTCATATTAAATACTGGTCATTAAAGTTGATCTTAAGTACATGTACATTGTAAGCAAATTTAATACTATCAGGACAAAACATTGTGTTGGCAAAATGCAAAAATGTTTGGTCTACATATTTGTAGTATAAAATAATTGAATAAAGATGTAACCAACCTGGCAAATTACTAATTTAAAATCAGAACATGATGCCATCTCTGATACTAGACCTGTACTTTTATTACATGTACACATACAACATGTATAGCATGTACTTTTTGTATACATTACATCAAAAGGTCTAGGATCTCAAGTTTGCAGATTTTTCTGACTTACTGGTGTGTGCAAGTGAGCTTCTAGGGGCCTGGAAAGCCTGCTAAAAGCATTGGGTACAGCCCAATTTTTTGCATTGGAGATAAGGCCATGTTGATTTGATTATATGGATGACATACTCTGGGAACCCCAAAACTGATGTGAAAAAAAATTGTTTGGCAAAAAAAAGTTGCTTTCATTATGAAATCTATGTGGTCATGAAGGTTGAACAAATGACACGAGTATGGCGAATCTAGTCTTCAAATTCATTTCTTTACATTTTCGTCTTTTTTTTGGTTGATTGTGGCACTCTACAACATTGGTATTTTTTATAAATATTCTTTTTGCAACTTACGGTATATAATATTTGCTGATTTTGCAACGTTTTTGTACGAATTCCAGCATGGTTGAAAACTTTTTTTGGAAACGGCAAAGAATTCATGCGTGCAGAGATGTCATCCATATAATTGAATCAACATGGCCTAACGTGTACAGTTCAAGCTTGTTTCATCATGACTTCTTCTAGCACAGATGATCTTTTAAGAATGAATCTATTACAGATTCATTGTTGATAGCACATGTGGCTTTCATGTATTTTAATTTCGCAAACATTAATATCACTGACAGTTCATTAATGTTGTAAATTTCTTTTTAAAACAAAGGCTACATTAGTTATACTCACTGTATTCTTATTTTACACTTTATCTCAACCTTTAGATGTGATTACCTTTGAGTAAAATAGTCTATTATAGCAATCATTAAGAACTACAAGTACATGCAGGCCATATGGTATGATATCAATGATTACTATATAACATCAGGCATTTCTAAAAAGTATGCTTGATGATTACCTTTCATCTCCAAACAGATTTTTCAGTGACATAATTGAAAACAACTGCCTGGAAAGACAGTATCCAAATGGCCAAGTGTCCAATCAAAGAATTGCAGAATGTCAAAATGCTCAAAGGTTACAATGTATTAGTATCAACATGTCCCATTGGCCAATTGGATACGGTATTGCTAGTTTTTTTATGATTTTACCACAGAATGATCTGCTTGAAGAAGAGTATCCTTATGATCTTCTTTCGTTGTTTTCCAAAGTGTTGACATTGGCCTACTGCACTCCATACCACTGGAAAAAAAGGGACATCAATTAAAACTGAGCATGTTTTCTTTTTTCAATGGTAACTTGTTTTTCTAACAGTACTTTCTACATACTTGTCAAAGTACCTGAGAAGCAAAAAATTAAACTGAAAGAAGGCATGCCTATTATAGACCAATCTCATAGCTCTGCCCACCTCCATCAAAATGTAGAAATTTGAAATTAAAACAAAAACACTCTCTAATTGGTGGTTCATTTTTCAAAATTTCACGGGGGAGCCCCCTACGGCGCTCGCTGACCCCTTCAGCAGTGGGAAGAAACCCACAATTCAAAATTCTGGCTACGGGCATGAAATACATGAAGAAACATTGAGTTGGAGAACAGTTTATTTTTCTTCTGGTATAAATTATTGGAGGTTACCTGTTCTTGATCAGACCACTGGGCCTCTGCATCACTCCCCAACAACTCAGCCTAAAAGCAAAAACAAAACAATATGTCTCAGTAAAACAGACATTGCAACTTTTCAGGAAAAAGTAAAATATCACAATCATCAAATAAATTTGCTGTAATCAAGAGGTTTAATCAGTCATTTTATCAGTCATGTCCAGACTATGCATGATGTACAAAACAATTCATAAACTGGTGGATGTCCCAACTACTAAGTACCTAATACCAGCCCAGAAGAGAACCAAAAATAGCCATGCCTTCATCAAGTACCAGAGTTATCAACCTAGGATTGAGGTGTTCAAGAATTCATTCTCTCCTAGAACTAGCGTAGAGTGGAACTCGCTGTCACCAAGTACAGTAGGGGCATTGTCATTAGATAGCTTCAAAAAATGTCTAGAGTTACATGTAGATGTTCAACGGTTAGGTGTAACAAGTCAATAGGTGTAATGTAGCCAGCTGCCGCCGCGCCACGTGCCTGTAAAGCTGGTGTGTTATGCCGAAGGGCGGTTATACCGGCTATACAGTCAGGGCTCAAAAGTTACATACCAGTAACTGATTAGTTTACAAAACCATACAAAGTCTGAAGGTGATTTCATTTATAAAGTGATATGTCTTTTGTAATGTGGCCAAAAAACAATTCTACATGTCATTCAAAAATCTTTTTGGGGTGCCTTTAAAATTTATACCCGCCCTAAAAGACTTTGATTATCAAATTGTGATATAAATGCCTCACAAATAAGAGCATTATTATACATTTCACCAAGCAGACATCTTTACAAACTTATGTAGATGTACATGTACTGTGTCTGTGAAGCTGGTATTACAGTCCTTTGGCATAACACACCAGATAACAACACTATCATTTCCACATTTGATAGTACATGTAACTATCAAACGTACATGAAACTAGTTGTAATAACCCATGTAATAACATATTATCTAATAGTATTTGTTTCACTGTTGTTGTTTTTTTTGCAATAAACCTGATGGTAAGAAAGACCAACTGACCTCTTCCTCATCCTCCATAGCGTCCACATCCTCGTCCTGACTGGCCTCCAGGTTGTTCCCGTTCTTCTCTATTCTCTGTAGACCCTCCAACGACTTCTGGTCTGTCGGGTCAATGCTGGAACAGAAATTCAGCTGGTATTGCAGGGCTAGAAAAAACTTTTGAAAGATTTCACTAGAACCTCCCTTGCAGTTCCAATGCGAGATGCTAGAGGGAGATGCAAGATGCACATCGCTTGAAAAAGCTTCAGCCTTCAACAGATTGACCCAGTAAGACTTGTCATTTGGCTTCACGGAAGTGTGACATCAACCCCCGGGAACAAAGGTATATGAATCTAATAAACAATGTGTTGACGTAACACTTCAGTGAAGCTACATTTTATGTCTAACTCACTGGGTCTATTGCAGAGGACCAGAATGACTGGTCGAAAGCTCTGGGTAATACTGTAATTCCAGATTTTTTCACTGTACTGTTACATGTATGTTCACTGTTTTCACTGTCATTTCTGTACCGTGAACTTCAATATCATTACAGTTAACAAATAATTCCTGGACTCTTTTTCTTTTACCTGTCGCCACCGTGAATATGTAGTTCCGTAAACATGTCTATTTTTCTCATACGGTGAACTTTTCATACATAAAGTGAATTACAGTAACAATCTGTTGTGTTGGAACAAAAGTTGTAACTCGAAACATGTATGTAAGTATCGATTGCCACAAATGAGCTTTCATTACACAGAACACTGATACTGAAGCTACATGTAATTGTGGATCCAAATTAGGCCAATGCATGTTGATTCGATTATAATTATGGATGACATCTGCAAAAAAAGAAGTTTTCAACCACACTGTCAATTGTACAAAACAGTTGCAAAATGAGCAAATATATACTGTAAGTTGCAAAAAAAAAAAATGAAAACGATACTAATGTAATGCTAACATCAAATGAAAAAAGACGAAAATGTAAAGAAATTTGAAGAGTACATTATTCCCCATATCATACGCTTTGTCATTTGTGTCTTCATGACCACGTAGATTTCATAATGAAAGAAACTTTCTTTTTTTTCAAAACTTTTTATTTGCACACTCGCATCAGTTTTGGGGTTCCCAGAGGATGCCATCCATATAATCAAGTCAACATGGCCTTTGGTGAAAGAAATGAGTACCTGAGTGCTATACTGTACTGATCCAAAGCCTCCTGATAGTCACTCACAGCAGACAGACAGTCCCCTAACAGCTGGTGCAGGACACACAGACTCTGGTTCACCAGCTGACTACGCAGCCTGGAGAGACAATGTCAGAAGAAAAAATGTCCTTAAGACCACACCAATTTTATTTGTTGGTTTTCGGATACTTTCAGAAAAAAATGAAGCGGCAGGACAGAAAAAAATAAAATAAAAACAGACCTATCGACTGGACCAGTACTGTCCCAAAAATAAATCTCAATTGTCCCAAAATCAGGGTGAACTGTCCCCACCCATTTTTCGAGAAGTATTGTATGACTTGAAGTCAACTTTATTTTGCTTATGTTCACTCCCAGGCGCATTATAATTGCAGAGTAGACAGGAAATTCAGGGGGACTTTTCCGGATCCAAAACCCAGGACGTGTGCCTGGTAAACAAAAGAAGGGCTTACATTCTGATGTTGATTGTTTTTCTATTGTCCCAAAAATGTCCCCAAGTGTTTTCTAGTTGTCCCAGCCTAAATTTTAGTGGTCAGTGGCCATTGGACCATCTTTACTTTCGAGGCCTGAAAGTACTGAAAGAAGCATCAATGTACCGGTACTGTACCTGAATAGACTTACACTCAGGCCACACCATTTTAATTACTTGGTTAACAGATTTTTCTACAAAAATAATGGAGCGGGTGGGCGAAAAAATTTAAAAAAAAAAGGCCTAAGCATCCTATTATGGTACGATAGGAGCCATGAAATCAACACACCAGGCTGGTCCAAAATGTAAACAATGAATTTTGAACTTTTAATGATACCACTGCATTGAAAGATGAACTGTAACAAATAGGAAGAAAAGGACTGTTTTCAACTGTTCGGGGCAAAATATGAGCATTTTGCAATTGATTCTGAATTTTTTTCTTTTTTTTTTGCAAATCAGAAAAAAATTAAGCGGGCAAATTTGTTAACCAAGAAATTAAATTAATGTGGATTGAGTCAGGTACAAGAAAAATGTATATACATGTAACTTGTTTTGCTACTGAAAATCTGTTATTGCTACCAAAACACAAATTATAAAATGTGAAGACTAACAGTTCTATGGCTTCCTCATATTTCTGCTTGATCTGTAGTATCTTCACTTTCATAGTGACAGCCTTCAGATAGTCTGGCTTGATGGACAGTGCTCGGTCTAGTGTGCTTTTTGCCTGTAAACAAACAAACAAACAATATGGAGGATTAACAAGCATCATAAAAGGTAAATATTAAAACATAAGAACTATAACCATACACTAGAGCAAGAAATATCACTTGAATACTAGTATGCAGGTTTGTTCTTATTATGCATGATACTTCTTAAAGTCTGAGTAGTTTGTATTCAAATTTCTGAAAGCGGTGCATGCGGTTAGGGCAAAACGCGTTCGAATTATTCTATGGAACAATAAGCCCGGGCCTTACCGTAAAGAACACTTAAGCTTGTATCGAACGTAATTGCAGCCCAGGTATGACATAAAATATTTTGATTTTTTAAAATATTTTGAAATTGCAACAGTGCAATACACGCGGAACAGAGGCAGCTGTTGCTGGTGTTGTGTCCCGCACAAAGAAACGAACACTGGACACTCAGGCAATACTCATTTTTACTTGAGTCTAGTGGGGAAAGTCGTGTAAAGTGCCTTTCCCAAGGGCACAAGATCGGTGGCAAGTCAGCACTCGAACCCGGGACCTCTTGAAATTTCCGAGTCACGCACTCTGCCGTTGCGTCACACGACCCCACTATATATATTACGGGTTTCGCGCAGGTGCAGCGCATTTTGCCGACATGCTGGTTAGGGGGAGTTCGGCAATGTCTGGGAGGCTAAGGTTAACCTGGATACAACCTCTATTTATGGAGACTAAATATGATCAGGAAAAAAATCTGCAAGGCAATGATAATGTGTAATTTTAACAAGTACATGTGTGGGTTTATCATCTGATCAAGGGCTTAGTTTAAGTCAGGGTACAAAATATTTTTTTGAACCAGGTTGCTCAGAGGGCCAGCCTAAATTTTAGTGGTCAGTGGCCATTGGACCACCTTTAATTTGGAGGTCTGAAAGTATTGAAAGAAGCATCAATGTCCCAGTACTGTACCTGAAAAGACTAACTTACACTCAGGTACAAAAAAGAATGTATACGACTTGTTTTGCTACTGAAAATCTGTTATTGCTACCAAAACACAAATTAGGAAACCTACATGTACGGCAAAAATTAGGTTGCCCATCAGAATTTTAGGTTGCCCCACCTATAAGTTACTATAGACTGTACTTTCCTCAAATGAAGTAATGTTACATACATAAGCCTTTGACAATATTTCTAACAGCCTTTAGTTAACTGATACTAATAGCCATTAATACCTAAAATTAAAATCTGCCGGATACAGTGGTGCAAGCCAAGTGGGCATGATTTGGAGGGGGGGGGGGCATTCTTAAAATTCAGGTAGCACACTGGGCTACCTAGGTTCAAAAATAGGTTGCCCCAAGTAAAATTTGGTTGCCCGGGGCAACTACTGGGCAACCAGGTATTTTGCACGCTGGTTTAAGCCAAAGGTCACAGCAAGTAATTCTATTTATGTAATGGATAAAATCAGTGCACACAATAATTTTTGACACTAATTCAAAAAAAATTGCTGCCCTCCGACTGTAGTCAACATAAATTGAGCATTTATATATGCAAGAAGTAAACATCTGTTTTGTATTCAACTTGCATCTGTGATTAAAATAGCATGGTATATACACAAAGACCACTACAAAAACCAGCACGTCGGCAGAACGTACTGCACCTGCGTGAAATCCGTAATGTATTACACATAGCAATTCGGCAGAACGTCTCATATAAGATTGTATTTGTGCATATTAAGGTTAACACTCCGTCTGTAGTTTCCAAATGTTATGTAGGAAAAGATATCCTCTGCAACAGGCAAAATTCTGATGCAACGTTGACCAAAAATCCAACGAAAACGGCGAAAAATCAGGGTTCTGCGCAGGCGCACTACGTTCTGCCGACGTGCTACAAAAACCCATACTTGCAGGTGTGTATTAAGCAAAGATTACTAGGTGCTCCACATGCCCTGAGGCACTCTCTCTCACTCGACTACCGGGGTAATTGCATAATTGGCTGCAAGACACTGACAAAAAGGGGCTTCTGAGATAAGAGAGGCTACCCCAGATACAATGTATATGAGGGCCTGCAAGGGGGGTAGTGATTACGAATTACCCAAAATTTTCGCCGCCTATTACGAATTACGTTCAAGTTTCAGAGCTGATTACTTAAAATCGGGGGAGCCGTTACAAATTCGGATGGCACCCAGGCTAACCCTGGATGCTAAACGCTGTCATTTGTGGTATCTTTTACATGTGTTACTGCCCTATTTGGTCATTGTCTATTAAACTAGGTAAGGACACTTTAATGACAGTACCTGTATTGTTTCTGCACTCTGTTTGACACCTTATCAATTAAAAATCATTCCGCTCCAATTCTCAAATAATTGCACAAATCTGGTCTGTCCACATGCATGATTTAACATTTGGGACAAATTTAAAATTGTGCTTTTAAAACTTTTTTCTGTAGTCGTATTATTTTACTTTTATTTTCAAATGTCATATTTAAATACATCTATAGATATAAGATGTATGTTGCTGTGAAGAGGTTACCACAAAAGCCGTGAAAACAAAAAGAAGTACAATAATTGGTCAAATCAAATCAAATCATTACAACGTGTACATGTATATGGACTGATCCAACAATCACAGATATGCTTCAAAATTCCAAAAAAATATGCGAATGCAAAAAATATATGCCTCTGCTAATTTCAAACATATGACGATTATTATTGTGTAATTAGTCATTAAAACTATATCAATATCTCTGTGTGAAAAACTTAATAAATATATGGGGCATTATGACTATGTAACATTTTTGCACCCAAAATTAAAATATTAATATGAATAAAAATATTTGTGTGATATCATTGTAGATTACATCTACTTCAAATTTTTAAAAAAAATTATAGTTGGCGATAAAACAGCCCATATATATGAGGCCTTCTTAATTTGTGGTGACACCACAAACTACCAGAATGTAAACAAAACATGGCTGACAGCTGTGTTTTAAACATGTCTCATATTTGCCAAAAGGCATCAGATTTTGAATGACAGTTTTTTGAATGACCGTTATTTGCAATTGAGTAGGGTTCATTCAACTTACTTTGTAAAGACATGACCAGAAAGTTAATTTTTTTCTATCGTTACCAAGTCACGAAATACAGCTTTACATGTATATATAATGGTATCGCCTGATAAGTCTAACAGGTTTTTCAGCCCATATGAAGCCTACTTAATTTATGGTGACACCACAAACTATCAGAATGTAAATAAAACATGGCTGACATGTACAGCTGTGTTTTGAACACGTCTCATATTTGCCATAAGGCCACAGCAATTTAATTTCTTGGTTAACGGATTCGCCGCTTCATTTTTTCTGATTTGCAAATAAAAAAATAAAAATAAAATAAAATAAAAATTCAGAATCAAGTGCAAAATGCTCATATTTTGCCCTTAACAGTTGAAAACAGTCCTTTTCTTACTACTTGTTACAGTCATTCCATCTTCCAATGCAGTGGCATCATTAAAAGTTCAAAATTCATTGTTTAAATTTCTAACCAGCCTGGTGTGTTGACGTCATGGCTCCTATCGTACCATTTTGGGCCATAATAGGATGCCTAGGCCTGTTTTTATTTTTAATTTTTTTTCGCCCGCCCGCTCCATTATTTTTCTAGAAAAATCCGTTAACCAAGAAATTAAATTGGTGTGGCCTAAGGCATGAGATTTTGGTACCTTCACTTCCTGAATGACAGTTATCTGCAATGGAGTAGGGTTCATTCAACTTATTTTGTAAAGATATGACCAGAAAGTTGATTTCTTTGTATCATCTTAAGTCACAAAATACAGCTTTAATATATATTTTATATATTTTATTTGACCAGAAAGTTGATTTTTAAAAATCATATTATTAGGCCACACCAATTTAATTTGTTGCTTCTCGGATCCCCCTGTTAATTTTTTTCTGAATTGCCAAAAAATGAAGAAAAAAAATTGTTCTAAATTTACTGCAAAATGCTTAATGAAAGACATATTTTGGCCCCAATGGTTGAAGAAAGTCGTTTTCATCCCAGTTCTTAAAGTTTTTCAATGTAAGAAAGCGATTTTGTTTCATTGAAAGTTCAAAATCTATTGTTTTGATTATAAACCAGCCTGGTATGTTCACTTCATGGCTTATATAACATGGCTTTCCTTGGCCTGTTTTTTTTTTTTTCCCTGTCGCTTAATATTTTCTCTGAAAAAATCTGAGAAACATCAAATTAAATTAGCGTGGCCTTAACACAAAACACAGCTTCATATAATGGTATCACCTGACTGATAAGTTAAACAGGTTTTTCCTGTTTTAGTCTGTTAGGTACAGTCAGCGGAACAAAAAATCAGCATAATTACTGGTCAGTCACAGGTCACATTACAGGCCTCATGCAACATCTGCAGGGAGCTGGACTTATTCTTCCAGATTGAGAAATTACAACTGAAGAAAACAGTTCAAGGAACTGAGTTTATTCCTTCAAGAAAGGCTGTCAATCGACAGAGATCCCGCAAACCTACAACTTATATATAAGAAGACACCTTGAAAGATCCTTGAAGAAGCAATCATCTCGAGATTCATTCAACCGTGAGGCAAGTCCTTAAGGTAAAAGTGCCAGTTTCTCGAGTCTTGGGATTTTTTTGCACGTTTCCAGCGAATCTACACATCCTTGAGAAGACATTTTCAAGGCTCTTCAAGAGGCAATTATCTGCAAGAAAAGATTCTTTCGACTGTAATATATATAACTGACGACTTCTAAAGGACAAAGAGACAGTTTCTTTTGAAGACTCGGGATTGTTTGGCCTTCATTTGTACATGGCACCAGAACTCGGAAAAAGACATTCGAAGAGTGCAAATAAGGTACTGTATACATGTATGTGGCTGCATTGAACTTAAAATTTATGCCTCTAACAATTATATTCATGTGGTGATAAAGTGGTTCAAAGAGACCAAATCTAAGTTATATTGACGAAGAAGACCCTGATTTTGGGACTGACATCAAACTCTATGTCTGGGCCATTCTTAACGCCAAGGAGAAAGCTGTAAGGAACTCTGTCAGAACTGTGACTTGACAAATGCCATTTAAAGCATCTAGAATGTTTCCCCAGTCAAGAATCGAGCAGCTACCACTCCTACAACAAGAACACATCATCAATGCCTCAGGGGATGCAGGCACAGAAAGCGTGACTGTCCACTTCAGGCAGACAACAACAGAGCAAGATCCACTCCTTCTCCACACAGAAACTGTCGAATTAAATACTGAAGACGAGACCATTCCCAGCCCAGAGTCCAGCATGGAAGAGGAGCCTGAACCGGCCCCTAACGTAACCGGTGTGGTTCTAGTTGTAGTAAGCACTGCTGTGTTTGCCTTGGCAGAAAGCTGCTTCGGATTGTGTACAGCGGCGGGCGTCCAAACCTCGCACCTTCTGCTGTTCCGAAGCGTTTGCCTGTTCACGATCAACCTCGGTGCGATGGCGTTCGTAGCAGTTGGCAAATCGTGCGGGCTCAAAGTTGCGCAGCCGTCATTTGCACGAATGAAATCAAGGCTACCAATTCTAATCTTAGTAGGGATGGCAACGACAGTTACTACTGTTATCACACCTATGTCCTACCTCTTTGATATTCCAATCGAAGCCTATCAGGGGTCGATCTATGCCTTGGCACCTGCTTATACCACTGCAATTGCCTACTGCTTGCTTAGCGAGAGCTTTTCCCACGAAAAATTCTGGGCCATGGCAGTCAGTGTTTGTGGCAGTATGCTGTATGTAATCAGCGTGCCAAAGCCCAAGAGTGGGCCCCATACATCGATGGCGATATATTTAGTAGCTCTCTTCCTTTCTCCGCTACTTTCGGCTGCATTTGTCAGTGCTCGCGGCCTACTGAAGAAAAACCTGCACCCCATCACGTTGGTGTTCGCTGTTCAGTTGTGCAGCATTCTGTATTTAGTACCTTTCGATTCCAAATTTGTGTACGAAGTGCTAAGTTACGGGAATGTTCCTGAGTACGGTACGGATGTATGGATGGCTGTGATTGGTCACGTTATTTGTTACAGCACTGCCAGCTATTTGCTCTACTTTGGTCTGAAGTATGAAAAAGCTGGCATCGTGCAGATTTTGCTGACTGCGACCATTCCCTTTTCCTTGCTACTAAACTTTGTCATGTTTGGCAGGGTGCCATTCCCATCAGAGGGGATAGGGGGAGCTTTAGCAGCAGTAGGTGTGGCAGCACTGGTGATCATGACTTGTTTTGAGAACAAACTGTGTAATGGTATTAATTGTTGTTATCAAGTTGAGAGTAAAGACTAGAACTGATTATAATACATCAATGAGTTTCTTTGCTGGCCTTGTTTCACATTTGAAGTCTTTGGAGCGTGTCATCCATTAAAATTTACCTGCCGTAGCCTAAAACCTGGGGAAAAATAAACATTAGGCCACACCAATTTAATTTGTTGCTTCTCACAGACTTTTTCAGAAAAAATCAGGTGAGACAGGGCAAAAAAAAAAAACAAAAAAAAAAACAGGCCAAGGCACCCCATGATACCCGGAAATGTTACAATATGAGCCATGACGTGAACATGCCAGGCTGGTTTATAATCAAAACAATAATATTTTGAACTTTTAATGAAACATTGAAAAGCATTGGAAAACTTAAGAACTCAGAAGAAAAGGCCTTTTTTCAACTGTTGGGGCCAAAATATGTCTTTCGTTGAGCATTTTGTAGTTAATTTAGAACTGTACAAAAAATTTTTGAAATTTTTTTTGCCATATCAGAAAAAAATGGGCAGGGCGATTCGAGAAGCAACAAATAAGATTGGTGTGGCCTTAACCTTGTTTGTAAAGATGCATGTTCATGACCACAGTTTTATACATACCTTGTCTTGTGAGGGAGGATCTTCCATCAAAACTGAGGCATATAACTGAAAAAAATGGAGAAAACATGAATCATTTACTAGTGTTATTGTTGTGAAAATTATGGTGTGTATCAGAAAATATTGTTATTTACCCTGGTGTTGATGTTGTTTAATAACAGTATACAGTAACAATAATTATCAGAAAATATTGTTCTAACTTTACCCTGGTACTATTGTTATAAGAAATGACAGTGTTTTCAGAAAATAATGTTACTTCTATCTTTACCCTGGTGTTATTGTATACATGTAAATATGACAATGTGTATCAGAAAATGTTGTTCTATCTTTACCCTGGTGTTATCATTATAAAAATGAAAGTTTGTATTCAGAGAATATTGTTCTATATATTTATGCTGGTAATATTGTTGTGAAAATGAAGGTGTGTATCATAAAATAATGTTATTACCCTGGTGTTGATGTTGTTAAAACAACAGTATACTGTAATACAGTATGTATATCAGAACATACAGCATTCTATCTTTACCCTTGTGTTATTGCTGTAAAGACAACAGTGTGTAAATATTGTTCAATCTTTACCCTGATTAGGCCACACCAATTTAATTTGTTGGTTCTCGGATTCGCCTCTTCGTTTTTTTCTGATTTGCAAAAAAAAAAAAATTTGATTCTGGTCCTGAATCAACTGAAAAATGCTCATGTTTTGCCCCCCAACAGTTGAGGATAGTCCTTTTCTTCCTAGTTGTTACAGTTTTCCCATCTATCATTGCAGTGGTTTGATTAAAAGTTCAAAATTCAATGTTTAAATTTTAACCCAGCCTTTTGTGTTGACTTCATGGCTCATTTTGTAGCATTTTAGCCTATAATAGGATGCCTAGACCTGTTTTTATTTTTATTTTTTTTCGCCCTGTCGCTTCATATTTTTTCTGAAAAAATCCGAGAACCAACAAATTAAATTGGTGTGGCCTTATATATTTAAAAAAAAAAAAGGAAACCATTTATTTTTCCAATACTTACAGTAAGTGTGGAGGGTGTGTATCCAAGAGTCTTGCAGGCATTCAGTGCCACACTGACAGCCTCTCTGTTTCTACCGTTAGAGAGATAACACTCTACCAGACCTGCAAAAGTACACATGTAGGCATACAATATGTATACATGTTTTGTATATTATGTACATGTACATAATATAAAAACATTATAGTGCTGTGTACCTAAACCCAATTTTAGGTTCAGGTCCGGATTCAAGTCCAGAGGTTTAGGTTCAGTTCCGGACTTGTAAGTCTGCACCTAAACTCATGGCATGTACAAAACTGCATGTTGGCAACCTTGAAATGTTGTCTGCGCAAAACTTGTGCCACATAACATGGAGGCCGGTACTTGACAATGCCTGATGGCAATGTTTTTTTTCATTTTGCAGCACAGATTTTGCAATCTATGGAAGGTTGTAGGTGGTTTGGATGGAAAAAGGGGTATATATGTGACATGGTTTTTTTTGTAATATGTCCGGAATCAGTTCTTGACTTGAACATTTTTAAACAAGTCCAAAACCGGTCCAGCGAAATGGTACACAACACTATATGTACATGTAAAAGATGGTTATGTTACAAACTTTAAGGTGTTTAAAGGCATCCAATGCAATTTTGAGCTGCAATTTCAGGGTAGCAAAATAAAAATATTCTGGGTGAAGAAATCTGTCTGATATTGTCTGACATTTACTGCCATTTCTTAGCATATTTTTGACTGTCATCATTTTCGTACTTGTAGCATAACCAGAGAACAAGCTATGGGTCTGGAGTCCCTACATACTTTTGTTACTATTTAAACCAATAAATAGCTATTACGAGTCTAGGGTATGGAACAAGCAACTGTAACTGCAACATACATGTACATGGTACTAGTTTTACTGGGTTTATATATTATATCGAATGTAGAATGATGTAAACTTTTGTACAATTGAAAGTACAAAGAAGGTAGAGAAAAAAAGTGACCTTCGTAAGACTCGAGTCGATCAGGCACCATGCGCATGACTTCTCTGTAGTGCAGGATGGCTTCTTGTGTCTTCTCTATCTGCTGCAAGGTGGAACCTGGGAGACAACAGAACTCACTCACCATGGGCTTTCAGCTAAGGCCACAGCATGAAACATGTACATATAAAATGGCCTGCCTTAGCTTGACACACGTGTATAGTATGTAGTTCTAAATTAACTTGTATGCCAGTCCTTGAGATTGACATTGGACTGTGTATTCCAAATTTTTTGGAAGTTTCAACACGTACAAAAGTTTGACCCAGTGTTGATGTCACACTTAAATAAAAGAAGCCACGTGACAAGCAGCACTGGGTCAGTCTACTAGGAGAATAGAGTGACTGGTTGAAAGCTCTAGGTCTAACCTTTTGTGGTGGATCTTAAATTTAACTCTAAACAATAAACTACCAATACAGATGAACTTTCATGATAATGTACCAAAAGCTCTCATTAAACTATAGTGTAGCCAATGAGATTAAAAAAAATAATAAAACATTCAAACTTCAAATCTAAACAAGAAATTAAAGTGTCAGAAACATTATTTTTGATTTAAAAGAAAAAAAATCTATATTATAGTGGCCCATACCTTTCAGAAGAAGGGCCTGGACACTTTCTTGGTTAAGCTGGTATGCCTGGGAAGAATAACAAAATAATTTACATATAACACAACAGGCTACATGTACACATGCACTCATCAAAAAGGCTAAACTCTCAAGGGCATCCAAAGAAATTTTAGGGTGGCAAAGCAAAAATAATTTATTTGCTGACATTCTACTATTTACTTCTGTAATCATCATATATGTGGTGCACCCTCCAAAAATTTTGTGCACCCAATTTTTTAGGTTGGGTGCACCAGTGAACCTATTCCCAAAAATGAATTTCCAGCCATGATCAGTCATATTGACACTTTGCACATTTCATATTTGAAGAGTAATCAAATAGCTATATAGCCTACAAATAAGTGTGGGGAGTCCTTTTATATTTTGGTACCACAAATAAAAAATAGTAGCTACACATGTAGAAGCAGCCTATGATAGATAATTATACATGTGTACAATCATGTACATGTATATGTAACAATCTACTGCGACTTTTGAAAAAGAGCAGGGGCATGTCCCTGAGTAAGATGTTCCAAATTCTACAGTCTCATATTAGCCTCATGGATTTAAGTCAATTTCCATAGCCTCATCACCTTTAATGATAATCCTTATTGGCTAGCTGTGCTAGTTAAGCAGCCTAGGTCGTATCTTCAGCCAAACAAACAAATATAAGTTAGAGTAATGAATAAAAATGTACTACTGATGTACTGTACCTTTGCTGCAAAGTAAATCGCTCGTGTGTGTCTCTTGACACATGCACAGTGGTACCCCAGTGTGATCCATGGTTCAGGCTGTCTGTCTGACACTTGGAACAGTGCTGTTCCCAACCTGGAAATGAAGGGTTTAAATTCATTCTACATCAAAATTCCTAGTTCCTGTCCCAGTTCATGGTGCTAACATAAATTTCAGGACAGCAACAAATGTTAACCTTCACATGGTCTACCCCAAAAAACTACTGTACTATTCTCACTAAAAGACACATTCGTGGCAAGCACCTCCATCTTGCTACATGATGTAACCTATCATGACAGGGTGTCTGCTAACACACCAGTTACCATGGTGACAGACTTCTGGTCATTATCTCATGTGTTTGCAGAAGAAGAAGAAGCAGAAACTGAGCAAAAACAATGTTTCCTTCTGCAAATTTTAAAGTAAACTGAAATGTAGAAGAAGGCAATGTGCCATTATAGTTATTGTTGAAGAAATGTTGAAAGGGAAAATTATTTACTGTTGGAGTTCGTCTGCTTTGTTCTCCTTGGCCAGTAGTGATGCGTACAGGTCCATCCCCTTCAGGAGGTATGGGTCAAGCATGTGGATCTGTAACATACAAGAACATGAAAAATGATTCAAGAAAAGCATCAAAGATATATAAAACAGTGTACAAAATACTTTTTTGAACCAGGTTGCCCAGTGGGCAACCTATGGCAAAAATTAGGTTGCCCATCAGAATTTTAGGTTGCCCCACCTATAAGTTACTACTTTCCTCAAATTAAGTAATGTTACGTACATAAGCCTTTTACAATATTTCTAACAGCCTTTAGTTAACTGATACTAGTAATAGCCATTAATACCTAAAATTAAAAAGCATCTGCCGGATGCAGTGGTGCAAACCAAATGGGCATGCTTTGGGGGGGGGGGGTATTCTTAAAATTCAGGTAGCACACTTGGCAACCTACACGTAGGTTCAAAATAGGTTGCCCAAAGTAAAATTTGGTTGCCCGGGGCAACCAGGTATTTTGCACGCTGCTAATAAATGTATGTGTTTTACTGGTGTATTTTGAGCACTGCAGTAGTATGCATTATTCTACTTTGTCAAATTATCATCTGGGGTTGAGGTACGGGGAAAAACGGACGTTAAGCTGTGCAGTGAGTGAGTGAGTGCAGATTGGAAAATGACACTACTCCATGAGAAAAAAAAAACACAACTCACCCTTTCAAACTTGGCAATAGCGTTCTTGTAGTCATTTGCCTTGTAGAAACTATCACCCAGGGCACCCAGGACTTCCAGGTTATCCCGCAACAATGTCTGTGGTCACACAACAAGGAAGTTTATGTTATAGTCAGACTCCCTCGCAAACCTAGGTAACACAGTGGAAACATACTAGAATGTGTTTCCCCTATGTTTCCACTGTGGGACTGAAGGAAACACACAGGAAACACACTGGAAACATATAGATAATCCGTGACCAACTTCTCCGCCCATGGAAACACAGGAGCTGTCACAGGATTCTGACTGGAGCAGAAAATCATTTCCAATGTGTTTCCTTCTCGCCAATTAGAGACTGTGTTTCCAGTGTGTTTCCTCTGTGTGTCTTGGTTTAAATTAATCACTCCTAGGAGCAGAGCCCAGCAGCATTTCTCAGAAACTGTGTTGCAATATCAGACAGACTCCAGCCCCTCACCTACATATATATACAGAATGAAACAATGTCTCCAGTCTTCCAAATTTTTGCCTGTAGTTATATATACCTATACAAGGAATACAAGGGGCAGAATTTCAAGTACATTTGTAACTGTGTTCTATCACCAGTGTTCATGTGTTTCTAAACCTGTATCTGGATGGGTATGCATTGCCTTGAAAGAGAATTGGTCCTTCTAGTTCCTTAGAACACACAGTAAGGGACAAAAAAAGGATAGTCTGTATCATGTGACTTGTGTGACCACATGGTCAGGTGGTCTGTCATGGCACCACTACACAATTCATTCCTTCACTGTTCTGTCTATGCCTTGGCAGTGCATGGATAATTGATTTTTCACCCATAACAAGCCCCAGGGATAAGGCAGGAGTCTGCTGTCCTTAAGCTTTGCTGGGCTCTGCTCCTAGGAGTGATTAATTACCAGGACACACAGAGGAAACACACTAGAAACACAGTCTCTAATTGGCGAGAAGGAAACACATTGGAAATACTTCCACTATACGTCCTCTGAAACAAACATTAGGGACCCTCTGAAGGGAGGGAAAAAGGAGAGGACACACAGAGGAAACATACCCTCTTCTGTCCAGAGTGTTTCCCCTGTGTTTCCCATGTATTTCGACTATGTGACCGAGGTTTGTGTCACAACATTCTTTTCACTTTTATTACCTCCATGAAAAATGGAGGTATTGTTTTTGGCGGCGTCTGTCTGTGTGTCTGTGTGTGTGTGTGTGTGTCTGTGTGTGTGTGTGTCTGTGTGTCTGTGTGTGTTTCCGCAACTTTGTAGTCAGCATAACTTCATAACGCCTTTATGGATTGTCATGATATTTGGTATGCTGATAAGTCTTAGGAAGACAAAGGTCAAGGTCAAATATGGGCCTCCTGGTGGATGACCTTGGTACTGCAGCAGAACTTCCGGTTTTTGTATCTTTTGTCCTGAACATGCTATGGTCTTGAATGACAGATAGCTTTTCCTGTCAGTAATAAGTGGTGTGGGTTTGGTCCCCCTAGCAGCTTGTTCAGGAACTGCAGGGGACTTTCGGGCGAAATCTTTGAAAGCCAATAAGTCTAGATAGGTACAGCGTATTTTCATCATTTTTGGTGTGTAGGTATCTGACAGAGAGATGTACATAATTAACTGCAAATTATGCAAATGAGGACTTTATTTGCATAATTAATGAGGAAATTCTATAATTACAGTGTTTTACATTATAGAACTTTCATACATGTAATGTATGAAACCTATGGCAGATGGAACATCAACAGATACTAATTATGCAAATGATGACCTAATCTGCATAATTAATGTAAAAAATCTATGATTTCTCAATGGTGAATGATGGGAATGTCATACTTGGGACATCTTTAAGTTAATTAAAAGTTAACATCACGATGCATATATTATGTTAATGCAGAGGTCATTTGCGTAATTAAAGAAGAAATTTACATTTACATATCAAGCCCATATTTCATGGAGGTATGAGATCTCGGAACTCTTGTTTTTTTTTGCTTTTACAAACTCTCACTTTCCAGGGCTCTAAAGTACCATTCCTAGCAGAGTTGGTACTTCTTTCCTTGGAATGTTGTGATTGTTGCGTTTTCCTGACCAAACCTAGCAAATACCCCAGCCTTTGGGGGGGGGGGGGTCACTCGCTGGCAAATTTTCTATCAGACACCTATCAAACATTTTTCCATTGTCATACCCACCCTAGAAAAGACACATTTCAAGGCCAAATGTGCAAAATTTGGTGTCTCCTGACAAAAAATTGAAACAAAATCAATTCCAACATTATAATACTTCATTTTTCGAAAACAGTGGACTAAGTCAATGCTCACAAAATGGGTTCAATTCTATTCTAGAGTAGATTGTAAAATTTGGAAGCCCGTGTGATAACTGTTAGAACCCTGCATGATACCAATAGTGAACTTATCACACAGGTTGGAAAACCCAAATTGAACATTATCAGGGCCCAGGTACATTGTATTACTGTACTAATACATACCCGTAATGGTAGGGTCCCTACCTTTTTATCCAGTGTGTTGAAGGTGTTAATGGCTCGACTGTAGTCCTTGGTGCTCAGGTAAGCATGGCCTTTGATCCAAGATGATAACCTTAATGGCAAGAGACATGGTCATGATCAGAGTCTAGAACATGTATTTTTCATAGGGACTTTTTCAAAGCAAATTTGCCATTATCATAATTATCTTATACATCTGCAAAGGTTGAAATACCATCTGCAAATGTAGATTAGCGCAGGTTAAATTGGAGCTGTATTTCTGGTATTTCTACCTGCACCTAACCTGCACTGGTCCGTGTACTTGTATGTACTGGGTTTACATATTATTATTAATATACAATGTAGGTGTGTGAATATTTTGCTTCATCGACCGTCACCGCAATTGTTCAAAGAAATAAAAGAAATAAAAGAAATAATGGCATTGTGGTTTCTGAAGTCTGTGGTGGGAAACTTTTTTGCCAGAAATCTAAATGGAATTGGCCAGTTTGCAATTGATTTCGGCAGCATGACAGTAGTCTCTCAATGTAAAATGACACTGGCTGGGTATCATTAATTAAGCTAACTGGACAGTCTACTGTAAAATAGGTGGAGATTCTGCTGTATTTTTCATTGTCTTGTTACCATGCTTTTGGATAAGAAGAAAACTTGTCTAAGAAGACCATGTTTCCTCAGTACCTTGAGTGGTCATCTTAGACAAGTTTGACTGTACAGTGTACATCTATCATAATTCATATCACTGACCATTCTGAGTTTTGCAATCCCTGCACTCCAGCCATGGTCATCCCTGCAACTTCAGCCACCTTGACCCCCAGGGCCAGCAGACAGAGTATGGCCTCCAGAGAGAGTGGACACTGCCTCAGGACCTCTTTAAAACACGAGATGGCTGACCGCTCCATGCCAGCCTTCTGGTACAGCTTTCCCAGGGCCATGTTGACTTTAGCTGTCCGCTGTTTGGCTGGTACACTCTCCAACTAGACAGGACAACATACGTAGAACGTTTAGTGGCGGTCTGTACTTCATAATCACCTTGTAACCGGATGAATATACAGTGAGTAAAGAGACTCTTTTTACACAACCAAGTCTTTTATTCAGCCGACGTTTCAGTGACTGTCTGTTACCTTCCTCAGGGCAATTCTGACTGGTTATGTAAAAAGAGACTCTTTACTCAGTGTCTTACCAACCTGATGAAACTATTCACAGAGATGAATATACAAATGTACATGTATAGGGTCAGAATATTGCATGCATAAATGCCATTCTGTGCACAATATTTGAACAGTGCACCGACAGAAAACAGTGTTACAAAGATATTTGTTGTTTAGGGTTCCATACTACGTTGTACATGTACAGTGCATTCCAAATCACACACGCAAATCGCCAACAGCAGGAGGGCTGGGACTGAGGGTGATGTTGAATACAACTTCCATGTAGTATTCTATCTAATTTTTTATGTTTTATCCCAGCCCCCCATGAGGTGCTTGTGGCACTGGTAGATTAAATATGCAAATCAAGGACACCAACATGGCTGCCAGCTCCTACATGTACCTTCTTCAATGATACATGTACATGTATGGAAATTAAAACTTGTCAAGTGATGGAAAATTCTCTATACAACTCACAATGGACATGACATCCCTGCTCCCCTTGAGGTGCATGTGGCACTGGTAGATTAAATATACAAATCAAGGACACCAACATGGCTGCCATCACCTACCTTCTTCAATGATACCAGTATGAGAAATGGGGGAAAATACAACTCACAATGGACATGGCATCCCTGCTTCCCTTGAGGTGCATGTGGCACTGGTGGATTAGATAATTATTATGCAAATCAAGGACACCAACATGGCTGCCAGCACCTATATTGTTCAATGATACCAGTTACTGTATGAGAAATTAGGGAAAATACAACTCACAATAGACATGGCGTCCCTGCTCTCCTTGAGGTGCATGTGGCACTGGTAGATCTTGTACTTCAGCTCCACTTCCGAGGGCTGCCACTGCTGCGGGGGGGTGGAGGAACTGGTCTTGGCACGGTTGTTCTTACTGGCCGCTTTCCTCTGCTGTAGGGCCTTCCTGTACATCGCCTGACATCACAATATTATAATATGTTATTTATCATAACATTTTTCTGGAAAGTAACTATGATTCCAACTGCACATGTTCTGTGTGATGCATTGTGGGTAATGGGTTAAAGTAGGGGTGTCGTACGGTAGAAATTTTTTCTCTCAAAATGCTCAGAATTTTTAGCAATGTGGCCATAAAATAAATGGCTTTAATACTAGCCAATGTTACCCAAGAAATAATGAGTGGCTTTATTTTTCATTGGAAAATTGTAGATGTATTTGTGTCTGACAGTGTAATTGTTTGCATATAACTCATAAAGGCTTTAATCATTTTTTTTAAAAATCAAATCAATGGAAATTTGTCTTGATATTTGGTAGATAGGTACATTATGTACATGTAAGTAGGTCTTGATGAGTCCTCGAAATGGTTACATTTTGGGCCCCTGCTGTAGCAGAATTTCCAGGTTTTGACTCTTAGGATATGGACATACACATGTACAGTAACATAACTAACGATTAGGGTAATGATTTTTGGATGGTAGATATACAAATGTAGTTGTGCTCGGGAACAAGTGACATAAGTTTGGACCCCCTCGGCTAGTGGCTTGACATGCTGTCAGGTTTCAAGCCCAAGGCAGGCCCGTCTATAGTATAAGTGTACATGATGTGATACATGTATGCATGACTTAAAATAAAATGTACCTTAATTGACTATGATACTGTGCATATACATACCTCTGCCCTCTTGTACTCCAATGTCTCGTACAGTGAGTCTGCGAAGTATGCCTGTAGCTGGTACTTGCACATGGGTGAGAACATGTCCGTACTGTGGTCAGTCATGGTCAGCAACATACTGGCCTGCAGGACACAATACAGAATGGACGTCATGGATCATGATGTTATCAAATGATAAGAGTTTGTATGGGCGATTCCAAATCAGGGCTCCACACTACTGTAAAAACCGAAAGGGGCGAGCATGTCACAACCAGGAATCGAACCCGAGTTGTCCGCTTGGCGGTCACCAACGCTAACCATTACACTAAAAGGTCGCACTACCATTTAGCATGGTCAGTTAGCACTGTTACACTACTGTAAATTACTTTATATTTATGGTACATGTACTTTGATATTCACAGATTTTGCTATCACTTCTGTACAGCAAATTCTATCATTACTGCAAAGAAATAATCTTTTCGCTTAAACTTTAATTCTTCTGCACCTGCACCTGCCACCACCACGAACATTTAATCCCGCAAACATGGGCATTTTTCCCAGACCGCAAAATTTTGCTACCACAAAATATATGTATATGAATTATGATACTATTTTCAAATATAGCAGCACCATGTGCACCATTGCCCCCAGCTTATAGTCAGAATATTGCAATGCAATGATAATAACGACATTTTAGTGCATGCAGGTTGCTCCTGTGAAAAAAAGTATTTCCAGGTATACACTGTATAAATTATAGTTATACGTACCAGCACAAAGATATACAAATTGCCCCCCCCCCGCACGTAATTCTAGTCGCCAAAATTCAAGGCTGCAAAAGCGTTACGGTTTAATAGAACTCGTCATCTAAAAATCTTCCTCACTCAGTCAGTCTGGGCAGCTTCCTAAATTATATATGACTCCGTATCTCTGAATACCCAGTTCTAACCGTAACGATTTTGCCACCAGACATCTGCTTGAAAATCTAGTCTGATTCAAACTAAATAATTTTTTTTTGCGAATTCGTTTCGTCAAATTGAGCCAAAGAACTCACCAGGATCTTGAGGTTAGAGTACAGTCCCTCCGCGTGCAGCTCTTTGACTTGTTCAATCAGCGTCATGGTCACTAAAGACAGACGGGCGAAAATCGGACGAGAAAAAAACACCGAACTTCGAGGTTCAAATTCAGAAATGTCAAATATGAAAATGGCGCCCAGAATGATACCGCAGCGAAACTAATAGAAATCTGACCAACTCACTCCCAAAATAATAAAATACACAAAAATTTGAAATCTTTAAAGTCCATTTTAATAAGACACATACCATCTGTTTAAATGCGGTTGTTCTTTTTGAGATAATCACGAAAGTATAACTGTTATTCGATTTATTTTAGCGTTTAGATGTTGTGAGGTCAAAGGTGAAAGTGAAAAGGTTTCCCGCCAAGCGAAGTTTCTGTTTGAACTGATTTCTTCTTTCTCAGTTTCTGACTTGAATTTTGTGAAATTTAGACCAATTTGAACATTTTAGGGAAGTTAGAATACACAAATGATGTTAGAAGGAGCAAGTCTTCAACTTCTTGCTGGTGTAGGGTTCGGAATCGCCTTAGGTTGGCTGTTAAGGTCGAAGACAGGGAGGAAAATTCTTCCCAGCGCGGAGCTAAAAGATGACGAGGTAACACGTGTTCAATTTTTCGGAGCAGATCTAAGGTTCGGTCTGTTTATGTTGTCTTTATTGCCTGGCCTTTAATTCATTACCCTAACCGGAAGGTCAGGTTTTTGGTGGTGTTTGTATGTATATGTGTTTGTGTGTATGTGTGTGTGAGTGTGTGTGTGTGTGTGTGTGTGCATGTGTGTGTGCATGTGATTGTGTGTCTGCGTATGTGTGTGTGTGTGTGACTGTGACAGTGTGTGTGTATGTCTGTGTGGGTATGTGTGTGTGTGACTGTATGTGTACATGTATGTATGTATGTGTGTGTGTGTGTGTGTGTCATTTGGCACGATAAGTTAAGAACATGTAGGTGGGTAGGTCTTGGGAAGGTGAACATCATTAAACATACTTCATATCAGGACCTCATTTGCATGATTTATGAGGAAATGCTAGAAAAGTAGAATAACTTCTTTTATAAAACTACCACTGCATGGAGAATATGATCAAGTGACCAGTGTTCAAGTCGGTAAAAAATTTCGAGCTGGCTAAAGCCCTGGTTCAAGATATTGATACTGAGTTCCTGTCGGTTCATTACAAATCATGCCTGAGGCTGTATAAGCTATAACACAAATTATTACATCAGATATTATGGAAAGAAGGGAACATATATATAACTTTTAATATAAAGTTTATATTTCACTTGTCAGTACAGTTTGCTGGACCGGTTCCAGACTTGTAAAAATGTTTAGGTTCATTCCAAAGAAAACCCCCTTAAAGTCAAGAACTAATTCCGAACTCATTAAAAAAAATCATGTCACATGTGACATACCCCCTTTCCTTCCAAATCACCTAAAACCTTCCATAGGTTGCAAAATCTGTGCTGCAAAATGAAGAAAACATTGCCATCGGGCATCGTCAAGTGTCTGCCTCCATGTTATATGGCCACAGTTTTGCCCAGACAACATTGCAAGCTTGCCAACATGCAATTTTGTATATGCCATACATTTGTAGGTTAAGGTCAGGATTTACGAGTCCAGAACTGAATCTATACCTTTGGACTTAAATCCGAACCTGAAGCTAAATGTGGGTTTAGGTACACAGCACTAGTAATACTAATAAATCAATGTCTGTCATAACTTTCCAGGACAGTACCATGGGTGAGATGGGGGAGTACAAGATGGTGTTTGTTGTGAGACAAGACCTGAAGATGGGGAAAGGAAAAGTGGCTGCACAGGTACGTCTGATACTACAATAATGTAATGTTATATTAGGCCACACCAATTTAATTTGTTGTTTCTCAGATTTTTTCAGAAAAAAATTATTAAGCGACTTGGCGAAAAAAAAAAGAATAAAAACAGGCTAGGTCTGGGCATCCTATGATAGCCCCAAATGCAATGATAGAAGCCATGAAGTCAACACAAAAGGCTGGGTTACTTAATATTTAAACAATGAATTTTGAACTTTTAATCAAGCCACTGCATTGATAGATGGAAAAACTGTAACAACTAGGAAGAAAAGGACATCCCTCAAAATATGAGCATAGTTGAGTTGATTCAGTGGTCTCATATTTGAGAGCCACACCCCAAGCATGTGAAACATCCCACCAGCAAAAAGTGTACAGTGTAGGGCTGGGGTCTTTCCAAGTGTGGTTCAAATCCTACAGTCTGGTCTCCAAGTTGACATCTTGGTAGTTAAGAGTTGAAGTTCCTTCCTGCACCTGCAGTGTTTTAGGCACTGTCCATCTGCGTTTCTGTAGCTCTTGGGCCACACAGTTTTGCAATCACTACAGCAGTGAACTCATATATAAATATAGTGGGCTCAATATTCTTTCTAAAATTCTGAGTGCTTTAAACAGAAAGAGAAAGCAATATGTACCATGATACTACTACTAGCTACCATATTTACAGTTTTTGTATGACTTTGCTTGGGATCGAACTCACAACCTACCAAATGCAAAGGAAATCCACTTTGCCACATCACCAGTTATTGCATTCCATGCTTTTTGATAGCCATTCAACCCTTCCACACATATGGTAAATCGCAATAAAAAAACACTAATATTTTGTTAGAAAACTTCTATAGCAAATAAAAGAACTATTTTTACTATTTTATTAACCTAAGGCCACACCAATTTAATTTGTTGGTTCTCGGATTTGCCTCTTCGTTTTTTCTTGATTTGCCAAAAAAAAAAAAAAATTGATTCTGGTCCTGAATCAACTGAAAAATGCTCATGTTTTGCCCCCCAACAGTTGAGGAAAGTCCTTTTCTTCCTAGTTGTTACAGTTTTCCCATCTATCATTGCAGTGGTTTGATTAATAGTTCAAAATTCAATGTTTAAATTTTAACCCAGCCTTTTGTGTTGACTTCATGGCTCATTTTGTAGCATTTAAGCCTATAATAGGATGCCTAGACCTGTTTTTATTTTTATTTTTTTCGCCCTGTCGCTTCATATTTCAGGTATGTAAGCGTGCTGAGTGACACGCTATAACGTGGCTTTGACGTGCACAGGGAACACACCATGACGGCAGTCATAGGGTGCTATATGGGGCACCAAGAACGGCTGTCTTTACTGTATCTATATCAACAAATTATGTGGACAGGTAGTAATAGCTCACTCAAAAAATAGTTCAAGAATCATATTTTGTAGTGGTTGGGTTTTTATGACTGGCTGAGTTTACGAAAACATCGAATCATCGGCAAGTTCGTGCATGACGCTGTTCGGAAGAAATTTGCTCTGCAGAGGGGCAGAAAGGATATGTGTTCCAGTATTGACCACAAAACAGGGCTAGTAATCATGTGGAACTAATATGTGGTCGTCTGTTCCTGCCAATCAACAAACCTTTGAAATTACGTTTATGTCTGAGCTGGCTTATCCTCGTAAAGTCTCCGAGTCATGTACGCCAGCTTGGCTTCCACCTAGCGTTTATATATGTATGTGTATCATATGCAGACCTTTTATTATTGTACATATTTATATACTTGTATGTAGCATGCTCAGTTACTTGAAATTTGTAGTAAATTGTATGTGCATCCAGAGCTGTCTCCACATCGCTGACTGGCAAGAACCCTCAAAGCCCGTATAGGACTGCTGAGCCAGAGAGGGACACACAGAAGTGATGTCTATGGTCTGGCCGCCATCGTCGAGAACGACAGACCAAGTATATCTTGATGAAACTTATAAGTCGTCCTTAGACTGACGAACAGTAACAATAACAACAACTACTACTAATAGTTGAAATTTGATTTTCTGCACGTATATGGCTATGATTGGTACAAATCCATGAAATAATCGTTGTACCCGGTGTGGTCACGTTGGTTCAGTCATAGTCTGTAGTCGTTTATCTGAAAATTTTTGCAGATTGACACTCCTACTCAGTGGTAAAGTTCATATTATTGGGAGCAAAGATGGCGACGACAGCGTGGGTTAGCAATATCCCACCATTCAACGCCTGTACAATACAATCTTTTCAAATGGTAATGTTGGTGATTAGAGGTGAATAGGTAACGCCAACTAATGCCTTTGTGCACCAAGGTAAGAGCTAAGCACAGTGTGTAAAAATGGAAACAATACGTTAGCGTGGCTAACGAAAGTCCCACGAAGCAGACTTTAAAAAAAATCACGAATACGGCCATTTTATCAATACATGATCGGCTAAATTCACTGCACTGACAAACCTAAAGATCAGACCCTGATCAGACAACATGGACCCCAGATGGAACAAGTAGACACTATACTCAATACATATCGGGCGCCATATTGGATTTTCTAGAAACGGGAGGAACTTGACGAAACTTGGAATTCAGAGAATGACAGTTTCATCGGCAGAAAATAGGTGAAAATGATTTGAGAATTAAATAAAGCTCAAGTTAACAGTAAACTTCCGCATGTCTAACCAAGGAGGTTAGATTTAAAAGAAAGTCAAAAGCACGTTGTGCCGACGACAACCTAGTCATCAGTAAAATGACAAGGTATGCTAGAGTACAATGATTAAAATGCAAAACTTCGTTGTAAGTACGAAAACTACAATTCCAAAATGCAACATCAAAACACAAATCACCTATACCCACTGACAAATTTGCCGCGAGAGATCGTTGCAATGTGCACGTGACAACCGTTTTAGATCGTTTTAGTGTGCGGGTAAACACGCCACAACGGCAGCGTGAATAACGAAAAAGATGTGAAAATTCCTTTGTTATGAAAACCGTAAGTACGATATACACAAAACATTTGTATTAAAAAAAATAGATCTTACCCTTTTGATGGCCTTCTGCACCCACCAACATGGTTTTACGTGAAGAACCGCCACACGTCTTGATGTGCTGACAAACACGCGGCAACGACTTAGAAGCCCGCGTTCTGGCGCGCAGGCTAACACGTGGCGACGGCGACTCGGTAGCGGTTCGATCTTTGGATTTACCCGCGAGTTCTAATCGGAAGATTTCATCGACTTTCCCCACAGAACGTTCTAAATTTATACGATACACAATCGGTGAAATGCATACGCTCACTTTATTTTCTCCATACCATATTTTTTGTTCAAAAGCACATCTACAACTCACGCCGTATCGCCGTATCAAAATAAGTGGCTACGTTCTGTCTGAAGCCGCTCCGCACCAACATGGCGGACCGCCGGCCGCGGCGCGGCGCGCAGTTTATACAGCTATTTTAGTTACTCCAGACAAGGAAAAACACAAACTATTACTGGAGATACTACAAAAGAAAGTGCAGTTTAAGACATGTAGTGTTCCTTCCTTTATTTGTAGAATGGATGGCTGAACGAGTCCCGCGATCGGCCGGTCAGCGACGGGCGATGCACGAACTTGCCGATGATTCGATGTTTTCGTAAACTCAGCCAGTCATAAAAACCCAACCACTACAAAATATGATTCTTGAACTATTTTTTGAGTGAGCTATTACTACCTGTCCACATAATTTGTTGATATAGATACAGTAAAGACAGCCGTTCTTGGTGCCCCATATAGCACCCTATGACTGCCGTCATGGTGTGTTCCCTGTGCACGTCAAAGCCACGTTATAGCGTGTCACTCAGCACGCTTACATAGCTCCATATTTTTTCTGAAAAAATCCGAGAACCAACAAATTAAATTGGTGTGGCCTAAGTTGCATTGTTGTTTTTTTAGTGTTCCCATGCTGCTGTATCCTTGTACAAGAAAATGTCCAGGAGTAACCCTGACTTGTTGTTGTTGTCGTTTTTCCTCAGTGTTCCCATGCTGCTGTATCCTTGTACAAGAAAATGTCCTGGAGTAACCCTGACTTGTTGTTGTTGTTGTTGTTTTTCCTCAGTGTTCCCATGCTGCTGTATCCTTGTACAAGAAAATGTCCAGGAGTAACCCTGACTTGCTACAGCTCTGGGAGTACTATGGACAGCCTAAGGTTGTGGTCAAGGCTCCAGATGAACCAACCATGTGAGTATGGTAGGCATTACACATGTAGATGTGCTGTGTTCCTTAACAAACTTCTCTTGCCCAAATGTCAGTTAGATACAAAGGGGTCACCTTATGGAATCAACTAACTCCAGCCCTAAAGAAACCTACCTTGTCTTTTCTCTCACTCAAACAAGCTTTGAAAAACCATCTGATAAACGAACCTACCCTCCTGTAGTAGTTTCATTTTGTGTTCTCTCTTAGTTTAACTCATAATAATTATTATCATTATCATTATTGCACTGCATTTATAACTTACATTACCTTATTTCATTGTCATTAATTTATACCGTATATCATTTTATTATCCTTATTCTATTATTTCCATTTTGCTATTGTGTTATTTCCATTTATTGATTATATTTACTATTCCATGCTTCTTCCCTCCTTCTGCACCTGTTTTATCCTTGTTTTGTATTATTACTGTCTGTTTTGTCTAATGTGCAAACCAATAAAACCAAATCAAACACGTCAGGAGAAATAGCCATGCCTTCAAGTACCAGAGTTATTAACCAAGGATTGAAGTCTTCAAAAACTCATTTTTTTCATAGGACTATTGAGTGGAACTCACTGTCACCAAGTACAGTAGGGGCATTGTCATTAGGTAGTTTGAAACAATGTCTAGAGTTAGATGTTCAAGGGTTAGGTGTAACAAGTCGATCGATGTAATGTAGCCAGCTGCCGCCGCGCCGCGTGCCTGCGAAGCTGGTGTGTTACGCTGAAGGGCAGTTATACCGGCTATACAGATACAGATACAGATACAGAAGTCTTCAAGAGCTTTTTCTTTCCTAGAACTATTGCAGAGTAGAACTTGCTGTCACCAAGTACAGTAGGGGCATTGTCATTAGATAGCTTTAAACAATGTCTAGAGTTCAAGGGTTAGGTGTAACAAGACTTAGTCGATCGGTGTAATGTAGCCAGCTGCCACCATGGCGCATACCTGCAAAGCTGGTGTGTTACTCCAAAGGGCGGTTATACCGGCTATACAGAAACAGATATTGCGCTAATACTGTCGTACTAGTACATTTACACATACTATCATTTTTACTTGTCCCAGAATCGAGCTTGCCCGTCAAACCAGAGCAATTGGTCTACAAACAACCCTCATACAGGATGCAGGGAGAACACAGATCGCACCAGGGTCCAAAACTGTACTAGGAATCGGTCCAGGTGAGAGTTAGGAAAAAAACCAATATACAAATGTATCTTTATATATGCAAGGAGGTTGAAAATAAAATCTTGTATTTAGTGTCCTTGGTATATTATATAACTTAAGACTACGTTAAGTTATGTAGTGTATTTTTTCGATTGTCATAGATAACAATAAAAAAAGAGTAGGACACAATATTGTCTTTTTTGGTCAGTGTCTTTGTCTATTTACTACAGTTGTATTTTATTTTGATTCTTTCTTAGACACATATTTGTATAAAATGGAAATTTCTTGTTGTGGAGCTGTTTCAGCATATGCCCTGTGATTATTAAAATATGCATGATAATATTGCTAGAACTACGTGTATATATTATATTCAGTTGATTATGTTTTTTTGGCAGATCTTGTTGCTAGTGAGTTCAAACTTCCCCACCTAGCAGAACCATGTAGCATTGCATGCCTCTGTTTTTTTTTTGCAGGTCCAGTTGAACTGATAGACCAGGTGACCGGTCATCTAAAGCTGTACTGACCACTGCTGCTGCGGCCACGGGTTCAGTGCCAAGATCTCCAAGCAGATGTTTGCTTTAATGGCATCCTCTGCAAATTCAGGGCGTAAAAAAATACTGCAATTCACTTTATGTTCACTATAGCAAAATTTCAAGGTCTGAGAAAAGTTGACCTGTTTATGAAACGGTGGCGACAGATGCAGGAAAAAGAAAGTCCAGGAATTATTTGTTAACTGTAATGATAAGTTCATGGTACAGAGATGTCTGTGAAAACAATGAACATAACAGTACTGTGAAAGAAATAAGGAATTACAGTACGTTGAAATCAGTCACATTTAGATATTGACATCTACTGTGCTACTACTTAGTACAATTTTGTCATCATGTCATACTGGAAGCGTTTTAAATAACCCCAAAACAAGCTAGGAGAAGAGTCCCTTTATTTTTGGGTACCACCAATAAATAACTAGACCTAGCCTACAACACAAAACAAGGAACCATTTTCTGTCAGCGACATCACATTTTTTGCCTCATAGATATCAGTATGCTATGGGATAGGGTTGGCTGGACCTACTAGTGTCATTAAAAATGACCAGAAAATTGTCTTTGAAATCTAGTTTTGCCTCCCTGGAATCACAGAGTATGTTTGTTGGTCTGGGTTCATTCGTGTACATCTTTGATGAACTTTTTACTTGTCTTAAAAGTATATTGCAATATGAAACACACTTATAAAAATAAAGCCAAACAAAAAATCGAAGATTTTACACCTCTAGTATTTATAGTTGTGAATTTCTTGTAATCATTCTTTTTTTTTCAATTTCTGATTCTATGCATATTTTACTACATTGTGTTTTATCACAGTCACTTGCTGTGACTTGAATGTATTTAAATAACTGAAGATATACAAGCAATAAACAGAAAACAAACACTTTGCACAATGAAGTACATGTACATTGTAATGATGACAAATAAACTACCGAAAACTTCAAGGTAACATTTCCAGAGCAAACGCACAGTGTTTACCTCATTCAGTCAATCACATAGATAGGAATGGTTTAACTCAAGAAACTACTCACTCTCACTCACTCACTCACTCACTCCTCACTCACTCACTCCTCACTCACTCACTCACTCACTCACTCACTCCTCACTCACTCACTCCTCACTCACTCACTCACTCCTCACTCACTCACTCCTCACTCACTACTGCTCTGCATATTTTTACTGCCATCGTAAGGTATCGTATTTTGGCACCTCCACTTCTAGAATGACACTTGCAATAGAGTAGAGTTGGCTCAATTTACTTTGTAAAGAAATGAATAGAGGCTTTTCATTGACGTCATGATAATTACCATTTGAATCCCGGTGACCAGGTGTTGGCGGGTAAATTGATTAAGTAGCAGCATGTTGGCATGTTTAACAGACATCACTGTACTCCAACATGGCGCTAGTGAAAAGCCTGTATAGAACATTTACTTATTGTATCATCGTAATATTGCTGTATATAATGCTGCTTTCAGTTGATGTTTTGCCTGATCAAACTTTCTGTGCCAAACCACGTTTACTGTATACATGTATATCCGCAGTGAAAGGCTCTTCAAATCTTAACAAGATCTTGTAGCATTCTACAATGAAAAGACACAAAAGTATCCGGCCTAGAAAATTTTTGTATCGTCCTACTGTTGCCTAATGCAACTTTTCGTTGATGCTTTGCCTTATCAAACTTTCTTTTGTGCCAAACCACGTTTACTGTTATATTAGCAGTGAAAGGCTCTTCAAATCTTAGCAAGATCTTGTAGCATACTACAATGAAAAGACACGAAAGCATCTGGCCTACAAAATTTTGTATCGTCCTAAAGTTGCCTAATGCCGCTGTTAGTTGAGGTTTTGATTGATCAAACCTTCTTCCTTGCCAAACCACGTTTACTGTATATATCCACAGTGAAAGGCTCTTCAAATCTTACCAGGATCTTGTAGCATACTACAATTAAAAGACACAACAGTATCCGTCGTAGAAAATTTACTTTTTGTATCATCCTAATGTTGCTTAAGCAGCTTTTGGTTTAGGTTTTGCCTTCTCAAACTTTCTTCTGTGCCAAACCACGTTTACTGTATGAAAGGCTCTTCAAATCTTAGCAAGATCTTTTAGCATACTACATGTACAATGAAAAGACACAAAAGTATCCAGCCTAGAAAATTTACTTTTTGTATCGTCCTAATGTTGCCTTATGCAGCTTTTAGCTTGTCAAACTTTCTTCTGTGCCAAACCACGTTTACTGTATATATCAGCAGTAAAAGGCTCTTCCAATCTAAGCAGGATCTTGTAGCAAATGACGATCAGAAGACACAGAAGTATTCGGCCTAGAAATTTTTTTCTGTTGCCTAATGCAGATTTAGTTGATGCTTTGCCTTGTCAAACTTTCTTCTGTGCCAAACCACGTTTACTGTATATATCTGCAGTAAAAGGCTCTTCCAATCTTAGCAGGATCTTATAGCATACTGCAATTAAATAACACAAAAGTATCTTAGAAAATTTACTATTTGTATCATCGTAATATTACTGTATGTGGTGCCTTTCAGTTGAGGTTTTGCTTGATCAAACTTTCTTCTGTGCCAAACCACGTTTACTGTATATATCTGCAGTGAAAGGCTCTTCCAATCTTAGCAAAATCTTGTAGCAAACGACGATCAAAAGACACAGAATCAAGCCGGCCGGACTGCCCATCATGAAGGCCACGCCCAGGAAGTTGAGGGTAGTTCCCCAGTACATGGGGTTGTCCAGCACGCTGAACGGGAAACTGTCGATGCGCTCGTCCAGGTGGATACCGAAGTAGTCACCCATGAAGGTGCAGTACCAGCCTAGCCGCCAGAAGGAGCTAAACACAAAGAGGGATCCTGTGTGAAGAATGAGAAGAAGAACTTTATTGCACGGCAATTACACATGTATGGCAAACTACATAAAGAAAATAACAAACAACTAGAAAGGCCAATATTTGCTTTGGAGCAAATATAGCGATGGGTTCACCACATTTTACCACATGGCAGGGAAAGAATGAGAAACACAAGGGAAAACAATGCTTTACATTGATATAACTATAGTATGAAGTAACATACAACTAAGACTACAACAGTTGGATAGCTATTCCCTACATTATTGGTTAGGATTGCATAATGCAAACTGTTGATTTTCAAGATAAAAAGAAGCGTTCATAGCCCGCATTCCAATGCTGGAGCAGGAAAGCTTAAAATACCTACCAAAACACTTGAATACAGACATACTGTCAGTATGGCATGGCTCTGTGCAGGTGTAAATGAAGTTAAGCCAGTTAAATCCCAACAGCCAATCAGCAAGGAGAATAGAGGAAAGCTGCATGCCTATTGGTTGATGCCTTGCATGCCATTGTGATGACTCATGTCCAAATGTGGTAAACACTGCACACTTACACAGTAATACATTAGCTATTACACAGCCAAAAAACTAAAATAAAACCATTCTAAAAGCCTGTATCACAATAATTTAAAAAACGCCTAGGGGTATTTGCCCACTGTACCTCCATACCAAATTTCAGGACCTTAGGCCCTAAAATGAAGAAGCTGAATCCATTTAAAGATATGGCAGGAGGAGGAGAAGGAGGAGGAGAAGGAGAAGAAACATCAGAAAAAGCAATATGGTTTCACCACACCACTTCGTGGTGTGGTGAACCCATAATAAATGTCTACTGAGGAAGACCAGAGTGACTGGTCAAAAGCTATAGCTGAGAGAATTTTTTTGTGTTGGACCAAAAGTTTTAACTTTAAACAAACAATAAATGTGTTGAATTAGACCTAATGTCGAATAAAACCTAACATATCTTAATAATAATTACTCAAATAATAAGGGCTAGCACAAGTCTTTGATAAAGTGTTACAATAGAGTGGGCTAATCACAAGTTTCGGTATCGTTTCTAATAACAAAGCAGTCCTTTATATATCTACCTATTTTTGCGTTGTGGGAACCATTACATGTAAAGATATATTCAAATCTGTCTACAATATTGCGACTTTTAAAATCTGTTGTACTTGATTCGAGAAACGTAAATAGCTTGTTACGTAAAACATCATATTTGATACATTCCATAACAAAATGAAATTCATTTTCTAATGAGATACTAGTATACAGTATTAGCATTGTAGTGTAGTTTTTATGTACGTCGTTTGAAACAAGGGCTACTGAATGCATGCACCTACAAGGTCAGAGTTTAAACCTCAATTTGTATTTTCTTTACACTTGCGGTAAGACATTTTGTAAGCAAACTATGAAGAACACTTTCTAAACGAGTTACAAATCGTAAGATTGTCAGTTGTAACTTTGTCAATTACTTTCAATTGTATAAAAGGTTATTAGAAACCTTATGTTGCCGTCATTTACAATAAATGCCCCGTTTGCTATACATATATATAGCTGTGCATCTACTGGTCATAAAAGGGCTGCTTACATGTATAGTAATAGCATTTGTAAACGAAAACTAGATTTTTCTACAAACACTTTTTCTTTTACACTGGGGTGACCAACTGATGGTAATTCAAGCAAACTTCACTGGCAAAAGCATTTTTAGGTACTGTGTATATTGTTGTCTTTCAAGGTATGCCCATATATTATAGATACTTTTGAATTTACAATTGATACTTCAAAATGCATTTTTTTGTCACTTCACTGTTTCCATCCAGTGTTTGGCTATCGTGTATCGAAAAGCGTGCATATCTAGTTCTATGACTGGGTTATTATATTGCTAGGATCAGGTACTGTTTTTGGCAACGCCTCAGGGGCGGAGCTCTCAATAGGGTTAAGACCATTTCTCAGCCACCAAGGAAATGGGCGTTGGCCGCCCTAGTGACGCATGGAAACGGCCTTTGACCCTGAGATTTCCATATTCCCTCTATTGTTTCATAATTGCCCCCTCTCCGCCCAGTGCGAAAACTTTCCAGGAGGGGGGCAGGTACCTCAGGTGAGATGCCACCCGGCACCCTGTGGAGTGTGAAGGGCTTCTATACATTTGGCTGTCTGGGAATAAATGCTGGATGTGTATTAACGTCTATTCTTATAATATCCACCAGGGTACGTACATGTTTGTACATATTCAACCAAGCAATTCCACACAAAAAAACTGAAAAGATACGCCCAAGCAGATGTCCGGACACATCTTTTCAGGGTTGCGGAATTGTGTACCCTGGCAGAATTACGCAAGCAAACGTTAGATGAAAAACATACTCCTGACCGTGTACATTTATAGGAAAGTATTTTTAACTCAACCTGTGAGATACTAGTACATGTACATGTACTAGAATTCACATTTCACACTGCCTGGTTGTTGTATTAAATACATAAAACTAGGAGGTTTAAAATCAAATTTTGATTGATCTTGAGTTATATACAATAGACAGAACGATTCCAAACTAAAGTTCCAGTCTAGCTCTTGTCAAACAACTCACTGAGAAATGGGCAAAGGAAGCGCAGATTCTACATGCTGATATACGTAGATACTTTCATTGTTTATAATACAGGAAAATTCGATTATGAACAAGGAAGCAATCTTAGCTTAGCTTAGAATAGACCATGGGGATAGAAAGAGCTCATTGAATAGACCCATAACTGCGGCTTTGTCAGTGCCTCATAAATGGCAGGGCAGATTCACGGTGAAGAAGTAAACATGATTCCCTTTTGGTTAATGTATATTTCTTCTCCCTCGACCCCTTTTCTGGAAAGGCATTTACACCATTTAACTGCTCTTCTAGTCTTTACCTGTTGTGTTCTGACCTCAGTGTTTTGGAAATGTCAACACTATATTATAATCAGGGATGGCCAAGTTTAGATTTAGCAATTACACATGCATGCCAGCCGGGAAGCAAAATGGTTGTCCAGCCATGCACATGCTTGTCTTTTGTATTTGTGTGGATATACATGTGTAACATTTCCTGGCCCCCAGTGTTCTGAGTGTATTATGTTGTTATTTGAATACACATGATGATAAAACTTAAAAGTGTATGTAAACAGAAACTTTCTTGCTTATCTTGGCAGTTCCATAAAATTGTGTGTGCATGTTATACTTGGACACTGATCATTTATTCCAGCATTAATGTTTACAGCCATGCTTGTTAGCTCTTGAAAAAAAAAACCCAAGCCGTTTACTTGAGCTGCGTCTGTCACCCGTATAGCACTGCTCAGGGTCCAGGTGTGAACAACTGTGAACTTGTCTATTGTTCTCCTGTAGGTAGTCTGGTTCCCTGCTGTCAGGGACCAAGTCAACAAATTGATTGGCTATATTGTCATCTTATCCAAACAAAGAGATCAGATTTCATCTTTGGAGAAGCCAAAACTCTAAATTTTGTGTTATTTTTTTGTTCGAAAGGCGCAACCATATGCAATCTTCTACACAGTCACAAAAGACATGTTTGGAAAGTAGACAAGTTGCCCTACAATATTCTGCTAGGACCATGATTGTGAAGTCGTTCAGTATTCTCCAAAGCACTCATGAATATTACAAACGTGCCATTTTTGTCAATTTTTTGAACATATTAAAGAATATTCTTGTAATGATTAGACCAGTAAGCATGGTCCTAGCAGAATGTTATAGAGTTTTCTTTGCTGAATACATACATACCAAATTTATCCTAATAAGATGTACCCGAGGCTTGCGCCGGGAGCCTAAAAGTGATAAAATGTAGTGGTGCTAATTATATTTATAATTTAATATTGATGAGTTTTCTATGAAACCCATGAAGTCAGACTCAATCTTATGGATGTTGTGTTTCACCAGTTTTTGAAAGTTTTACAAAATAACCACTAAGTAAGCCTGTATTACACATTGAAGTTAAGACATCAGTTAATGAGGTCAGAGGGGCAAAATCGGTCTTAACCCTATTGAGCTGTTGGTAGAGTACTGCGATTGAGTTGAAAATATTCAGCCTACGAATTCCACGAATGTATTGACTAGGGAATTGAATTTTCTCAACAAGATATCTCAAGAACGGCGGGATGGATTGGTTTCATACTAGGTGGGTTGGTAGGGTGTGACTGAATCTAGACTAGATTTGGCCCCCTAGTGGCTTCCCTTGGCACTGCAGCGGAGCTTTTGATCTTGATATCTCGCGATCTGGACATGCTAGGGTCATGAATTTTAGATGGTAGGTAGCTCTTGTGCTTGGAAAGAAGTCACGCGGAAGTGGATCTCTAACTGTGCATTTTATGACGACATCAGAAAACAATTATTTACCACCGTGTCCAAAATGCTCCCCTACTTTCCGACCATTCCCTACCACGCAAAAAACAACTTGACTACTAAAATCAAAGAACCCACATATTATAGAAGAAGTGGGTAAATTCGTCTTCCATTGCCTAAAATGAAGTCAAACCCAGTAAAACTATAGCTAGCACCATGTATGTTGTAGAATATACTATGGTACATGTATAATGTTACGGACGTAGATATAGTCTCACATACCACTGTATTTTCTTTCTTATGTTGTTTGTAACTGTAATTAGCCCTCGGGCATGTATTTGCAATAAACTTTCTATAACTCACCGATGCCGGCGATACCATATCCTACTACAGGTAGATGTATGGCAGGGAGGGTAGGCTGGCTCTGCAGAGCTGTCATGTACAGGGAGTCCCTCACTACCCCCATCAGGAGAATGGTAACGGCCAGTACACTACAGGCGGTATATTTGGACCGGAACAAGTTGGTCATCCAGCGGGTACGATATTCGGACCTGTGGATGGAAAACAAATTAATACACCTACCTTAAAGGCATCCAATGCAGTTTTAGGGCTTGTAAACCCGATTTTTCAAAGGCAATATTCTAGTCATTTATCTACATACTGAGCTGAAACCACACTATCCCAATGCTCCCTCATGGAGCAAAAAATACAAAAAAAAATCTGACACAAAATGATTCCTGGAAAGGCCCTGTGCTGATTTTAGGGTACCACCTAAAAAAAAAGGACTCATCTTGGGGCTTGTTTCTGCAGTTTGAAATACCTATGGTCTGAAATGCTGACTCAAATGTACATGTGCTGCATGATGTGAAGCATTATTATGTGTCAATATCATATAGATTGCCTTTATGCAGAATATTTCCAGTTTTGTTATTCTGAAGTCGCATTTAACATACATGTATGCATGCTATGCAATTTTAGGACGGAAAAGCAAGAAACATTCAGTGTGAGGAAATATTTCTTTCTGCATTACTCTTTGGTGTATTAAGTAGGAAACATCGAAGTCATCAATCTATAAATGTTGACTCTATCATTGTTGCACAAACTACATTCCACTACAGCACGATGTTTACCTTCTATCCTCTCTAAATTACATTTTTTCTTATTCCAACATTTAATGACCAAACATGGCGACGGCACACTCAAGTTATATTATATCAACTTATTTTATGCCGCCACCAACACAGTACAAATTAAGGACAGGACAATACTCATTTTCACTTGAGTTAAGTGAAGAAAGTCATGTAAAGGGCCTTTCCCAGGGACACAAGATCGGTGGCATGTCAGGACTCGAACCCGGGACCTCTTAGTTCCGAATCGAGCACTCTGCCGCTACGTCGCACGACCCCACAACCTTCTGCTGACACCATGAATACCCAGTTTGATAATCGCAGGATAGGCTACATAACAAAATGTAAACAGGAAATACTGATATGGGATTCAAAATAGGAATCGCTCAATTGTTCTTCGAATCATACATTTGTTGTCAGAATAAAATGCCCCCTTCCATGAGGCGTCGCCAAAATAAAACAAGCAAATAGGGTTGTTGTTTTTTTCTAGAGTAAATCATGCACGTAGCAAGCTGGGTTTTGATTAGTGGGGGTTCTTCTCAGTGCGAGGGACCAACGTGCGCCATAGGTGCGAGGTTCCTAGGGAAAAATGAACCTTCTTGAAATTGCATTTCCTGCGTTTTGAGAGGATTTCAAAGGAAAAAGTCAGAGATAACTTTTTATTCAATGACAAAGTGAGCAGTTTTTATACAATTCCAGCCCCGCTGGTGATACAAATCAGTCCAGCTAAAGAAAAATCTTGGACCTTTAGATATAAAGTGGACCAAAAAGTGGACCTTTGAGCCTTGTGGGGGGGGGGAGGGGTGCGGTGACCTGTCAGATGACGTCAGAAAGTCAACAATGTGGTTTACCTGGTAAACAATTGTTTACGAGTTAAAAGCAGACTGTTAGCAAACTACAACAAAATGGCGAACAGTGTCAACCCTAGGTAACTCTGGGACTGCCGTGCATAAAAACATGAGAACAGGACTTAATGTCCGAATGACCGACCCAAAGCATTGCGCTCGCCTATCTAAATTAGCCTCTATCAAGCTTCGAGACGCTACCAGACCATGACAGAAGTTGGTCATCTAGAGAACAGTTTACCGCCCCAGTACTCTTTTGCGGACCATCTCCCTTATCTCTATGTAGTTTCGCAAGTTTCTACTCTTTCCAGCAACTTTCCGAAGCCTCCGAGGCTATATCTAAATTACCGCTACGGGGGGAGTTGCAGAAATGTCTGTACACCGTTGGGTCACCGAAGGGAACTGGCATGCAGGCTAGGCCTAGCCTCCAAAGCATGCCAAACTGGGGGCTTGGGGGGTCTTCAGAGTCTTTGGGAGCTTTTATGTGCTATTTTCTGATTGTATATAGACAACATAGCCGGTCTGGTTGAATTACCCTGTTTTTTTTTGTTGTTTTTTTTTTGGAACTGGGCTAATCAGAAAACGGCCGAAGACCACCAACCCCCAGTTCTATAAGCCTTCTACCGAGGCTAACTTGAGAAAGAGAGAGAGAGGAAAGAAAGGCCTCCCGTGCAGGGTACGAAGGTTAGTATCCTTTTATGGAGAGCGTAGGGTGGTGCCCATCTCCATTTCTGTAGCCCTTGGGCGACACACAGTTGTGCAGGGCACTACAGCAGGGGGCTAGTCCGCTGGTAGTGCTGTGTGTTTGAACTTCCCACACTCTTTCTCATATATGCTGAGTGCTAAGCAGAGAAAGAAGTTTGTACCATTTTTAAAGTCTTTGGTATGACCCGGCCGGGGTTTGAACTCACGACCTCCCGGTTATAAAGCGAGCACTCTACCAATTGAGCTATTGCATCTAGTAAGAACCCACCTGCAAATTACCGTCCAAATCGCGGGTTTGAGGATGATCCCCAGAGCAGCGACCAGCATGTTGGGATCGTCCAGCAGAACATACTCCTCCAGGGCAGCCATTTTTTGTGGTTTTCTGAACTTCGTACCCTGCACGTGGGATGTCTTCTGATCTTTGACCACATACCGTACAAACAAAGAAACCCTGATAAAAAGCCTAAAACACGTAAAGCCAAAGCCTGAACCACCGCTTCGACATTTTGACGTGTTTTAGGGGTTCGCCTCCTTTTTTTCTTTCTTTCTTTCTTTCTTTCTTTCTTTCTTTCTTTCTTTCTTTCTTTCTTTCTTTCTTCAAGGTCACCCACAATGACAGCAGTAGCTTCGTCTCATGTTCCATATTCACTACGAAAATGATTAACATCTACTGTCAAGGAAATGGTTTATATTTGTGAAAAGGTGTGTTTTTTTTTCTGTTAGAAGGTACCTATGTAAAGAGGGGCCGGGAAACCCAGGTTTACTGTAAATAACCGCGGTGACCCCCAATTCAGACACCGTTCTGTTCGAATTACGTCATATCGAACATGGTTCGGGCTCTACAGCAGGTGGGAGATCCGGGCCTTAACGCTGGTTCTATCTATTTATGGGTGGTACCAAAAAAGGACTCCTTACGTAGATTGCCTGTGGCTATTTCAAACGTTCTAAACATGAAATGATGACAAAAATGTGCTACGAAATGTCAGTAAATGTCAATATCAAACAGTTTTTATCATCCTTAATTATTTTTACCACCCTGAAATTACATTAGATGCCTTTAAGAAGCTTGAATTATGTGTGATATAATGAGACTAGCTGACGCCCGAGGCCCTGTAAGTGTTGTGGTGAGATAATTACCTCCGTCTGAAGCTCTATTGTTCAGTACCTCACCACGCCCTGTACGGGCACATGGTCATCATACCTGGCTCATTTCGGAAGTTCAGTGACCGAAGGCCGACCGAGGTTTACCTTTAAAACCCTCCCACAAATTTTAGAACCTCCCCCCAAACCAATGTACTGACCAAGCCTCTTTTCTTCCTATTTTCCCCAGCACTGTTCCAAAAGTAAAATTTAATTGTCCCGAAGTTAGGATGAACTGCCACAACATGTTTTCGGGAAGTGTTATATGACTTGAACTTGATGAAGTCAACTTTATTTTGCTTATGTTCACACTATGTTATGCCCTGTTGTAGTGAGAAAACTATCTCTGCCTGAATATCTATTGTTCAGTACCTCACCACACCCTGTACGGGCACAGGGTCATCATACCTGGCTCATTTCGGAAGTTCAGTGACCGCAGGCCGACCGAGGTTTACCTTTAAAACCCTCCCACAAATTTAGAACCTCCCCCCAAACCAATGTACTAACCAAGCCTTGAAATTAACTTTTCTTCCTATTGTCCCAGCACTGTTCCAAAAGTAAAATTTAATTGTCCCGAAGTAAGGATGAACTGCAACAACTTGTTTTCGGGAAGTGTTATATGACTTGAACTTGATGAAGTCAACTTTATTTTGCTTATGTTCACACTATGTTATGCCCTGTTGTAGTGAGAAAACTATCTCTGCCTGAATATCTATTGTTCAGTACCTCACCACACCCTGTACGGGCACAGGGTCATCATACCTGGCTCATTTCGGAAGTTCAGTGACCGAAGGCCGACCGAGGTTTACCTTTAAGCCCCTACCACACATTTAGAACCGCCCTCCCCCTTCCCCCCAACTAATGTACTAACCAAGCCTTGAAATTAACTTGTCCCAGCACTGTCCCAAAAGTAAATATAAATTGTCCTGAACTGAGGATGAACTGCTACAACTTGTTTTTTTGGAAGTGTTGTATGGTTTAAACTTATTTTGCTTATGTTCACTCGCAAGTTCAATGACCGAAGGCCGCGACCGACGTTAACCTTTATTCCCCCGTCACACAGAACATTTCCCCGACCAACAACCAACCGGTGCCAACTTGGTAGGCTCTATCTTTGATGTACATAACATGTCTGAGCAATTCTTATGTAACATTTTACTTAGAGGATCACCCGATTTACACCCAGATACAAACTGTAACATTTTGACAATCACCCAAACTTATGTTATTGATACTAAACGGTTTGTATTAGATAAACTCCTACATAGCCTTCAAAAAATATTCTTCCTTACCATTTATTGATCCATTTCCCGTTCCACCTATTTGCTGTACTCTGTTGTTTTTGTCACTTCACTGTATATATTTGTATGTTTTGTGGTGAGGTTAAAATTAGCTATAGCTAGAGTACCTCACCACCATGTCCTGTATTATCCATGTCGATTTGCAAAAAAATAAAAAAATAAAAACCGGTACCAAGGTCGCTAGAATTTTTGGAGCAGTCTGACCAGACGTAGGAAACGTGTACCTTTCTATATACAAATCGAGTCGAATTCGCTGATCTACTGCCGAACACCAAACAACCACCAGTCAACCATGGCCGAACCTCCAGTCCACATACAACCGACAGTTGTAAATATTTGTAAACACCCAAACGCCGGCCGAAAACCAGCCAACAAAAGCCGACAGCCGACCAGTCAAATTGCTTCCGAAGTACTCCTAGCTTGGTGGTGGTGGTGGTGGGGTATGTTAGCTGGTGATCTGGAGGCCAAGTTCAGCTATGTGTAACAGAAGTTTTGAATGAACATGATGGTTGTTAGAGTTTTGGAAGTTCATCGACCGCTAGCACTTGACCGAGGTTTACCTTCATATAAACAAGCCTAGGTGCCAGTCTCCGTAGTTTTTCTCGGCTCCCTAACGTTTCGTAGTATTTATATGTAGAATCTTAACATTCCTGGCAAGTAACTTAGTATACATCTGTTTAGTAGCCATAGAACATGTTTAGTATAATTAGGTACAACTGCTCACTGTACCCTTCATGTATAGTTTAGTGTAATGTAGAATGTACATGTAGAGTCAAAATATTCTCTAGCAAGTAGTTCTTTATAATACTCTGTCAGATACAATGTCCGTTGACCATATATATAGCATTATGTTAGACACATACCAACTAGTAATCTTATTATTTGCCATACATTGTACCCGTGACAATCGTTGTGCAATAAACTTTGACTTGACTTGTCACTGGGCACGATATCAGGGAGCGGGCGAAAACTACTGAGGATGGCACCCAGGCTATCATATAATATAGCTTGTCGTAGAGGACATATTTTGCTCATTGATTGTGTTATTTTCATTGCTGTACAGATCAGTGACTGTGTGTGTATTCTGTAAACCCTACCATAGTTTCAGGCATGCCATTTGGTACCCGCAAACTTCTCTTCTTTACTTGTTTCAGAAACAAAGATTTCTTGAGCTTCAAGATGTATGACCACGATAAACAAACGATGGATAGAACTGCGGAGGGAATGACTAACGTTTCTTTGAGCAAACAGCCCTTTAAAAATGTGTTACCCTGCCCACTATTTGATACAAATATGAAGTACATTGTGAGATGAAGACCTTTCATTATCTGTGTTTTAATATGTAAATACAAGAATGTTTTAGATAGTAATAGGCAAATAATAAATATCTCTCTGTATATGAATACAACATTAGTATTATATATCCTTATATAAAACGGTGTCTATTAGGTGGCTGAAAGTTATTACAAATAATAAAGATCCCAGTTAACCTAAAAATTTATATAAAATGATTATATGAAGTCATAAACAGAGTCTGGTATTACCAGATATTGAAATATCTGCACCACACAATGCTAAATACATCAAATAAGCATTATTTAATATACAATTTTGATCAATATCTCATTTACAGTAAGTTGAAGACAGATTTTCAGTCAATACTACAACGAAATGCACATTTGTTTGTAAACGATATTTTACATATAATCTATATACATTTAAAAGTAGTAACTTAGCACACCTTTATACGGGATAAACAATATCCGTCAGTCATGTCATTATCATATGATATTAAACAGAATATCAGAATGTTGTTCGAAAAGGCTTTGCTTTGACGTGAAGATCATTATATAATTACTGAAATCATTGCATAACAAATGCAATTGTCCAAATGCTCAAAAGATGTAAAAGTCGCATTTCACTCTCAATCTATCAATGCTAAACCTGTATAGAATTTTTATACAATAAATATCTTCTTTACAACAACAACCAAAAAAATGCGTATTTCCAACCTCAGTTTCTTTAAACAATTATAGTAACCCATGTATGGCAGTGTTGCGAAGTATAACCAAAAGATAAATACTCCATACGTACTTATAGTTAGTACCCTCAAGATTAGAAATATTTGATATTTATATGCTGCTATAATAAACAATATCAATATGATAATGTAAGTGTACAACCATAGTCAATATGCATAATCATAACCATAACCAAGATCTAACTGTTTAAGGTAAAACTTTACAATCGCTCTGCCTTTCTTTTTCTTTTCAATCGAACGTCCTATTTGAAACATTTGGTCCAGTTATGCCTAATCCATAATTATTAATTATTAATAATTGTTTTCATGTACACATTAGAAACTGCTCAATACAATCTCTTTGATAGTAAGGTCAATTCGCTTTGAATTCGAGTTGAGATGGCATCTGATTCAGAAGAAAACATTCCAATGTGATATATAGTAACGTTATCTTGTAAAGAGATAATCCATTCTTGTCAAAGCCCTTATATCCACATGCATTTGTAGACAAAGGTTATACATCCGGGGTAGGGGAATACACAAGGAAATTGTTACAATCAACAGGATAGATAAAAAACGTCAGGATAGATAAAAAAGTTTTTTAATAGTTAACTCCCTAAGAGCCATTAAACTCTCACTGTCACTGACGAAAGGTAGTAGATGCTATCAAGGACATTATACCGTGTAATGTCCTTGATTCTGTCTAAAACGTTTGACTGTTTTCAAAATCTATCAAATTTTTACTTTGAGTAACAATTCCCTTGCGTAGCCTCAAGTATTGTACAGTTGCGTTACTCTCCGAGCAGAGGCTTACTTTTTGGCTTATCTTACGGCGTGAAAAAAAAAACAATGGAAAAAAGAAATCCCAAAAAATGTACCTAAAAACACGTCAAAACAAGCCAAAATTCTAGCCTCCATAGCATGCCAAAAACTGGGGGTTTTGAGGGTCTTCAGGAGCTTTAATGTGCTATTTTCTGATTGCATATAGACAACATAGCCAGCCTGGTTGAATTGAACTGGGCTAATCAGAAAATAGCCGAAGACCCCAGACTCCCATATCTAAAAGCCTGCTACGGAGGCTACCAAAACCCAAAGTTCGGTTGGCGTAAAAAAGATACCAGTGCAGAAAAAAAGACCTGATAAATAAACATAAAAACACGCCAAAAATAAGCCAAAACCCAAATATCTGCTTTGAGAGCAAGGTTGTGTCTGTTTCTAGATTTAGACTTGATTATCTATCACTTTTATTTAGTACGTATTTCTATTCTATATAGGGTTTGAATGGAATTCTTATACACATTTAAGAAAAAAAATGAGATAAGGACATGTTATCTCATTTATTTTCCATATATTGTTTGAATGAATTCTTAAATGGAAAATAAATGAGGTCATGTTACATCATTTTTTTCATATAAGGGTTGCATGTATGCTTATATGGAAAAATGAGATAATGTAAGGACATGTTATCGCATTCTTTTTTTGCAAATAATGTTTACATGGAATTCTTATATGGAAAAAAAGGGATAACGATTAGAGAAAGAGTTATCACGACTTTTTCAATTATCACGCGTTTTCCAGTGAAAGTAAAATACGTACTAAATAAATGAGATAAAAAGCCATGTTTCTAGATCTGCCTGAACACCGCTGCGTTCACAACGATCATGACCACAGTAAAAATGGCGAAGAAGATCCTGTCAATACGAGAGGCCACCTCCCTCCACGCGTACATGGCCTCATCGTGCCTCTTCTTCTCTTCCCTGCTGATTCTGGCGGCTTTCAGGTTGTTGACGATGATGTCCATCTTGGCCCGAAGAACGGGGTCCACGGCGCTGTTGTTGCTGAGGGGCTTTTTCAGGGATGTAGACTCGATAGCAGACGTGCTGTAGGGCCGGGTCAGCCTGCCTTTGCGGCCGGACAGAACCGTGTCCCCGATCATGTCCGTCATGGTACAGGAGTTCAGGATCACACCAGAAGCGTCAGTAGGGAAGCTGTGGAATAAAAATGACATAAAACCAATGAATGAATGAATGAATGAAGACCTTTATTATACACACATACACACTGGGTTAAGGTTTCTTCTTGTTTCTTAGTTAAAAACGTAGGAACAGTTATGTTTCAATTTAGAAGGTCTAAGCTCATTAGAAATATGAATTTATCTGTACAGCTTAGATGTCACACTTTGTCCTTTTCATTGTTTTGCTCAGTTTCGTCTTCCTCTTCTCCAAGCAGTAACCTCTAAGACCTGAGCCAATGTTGTGTCTGTTGGGTTACATCATGTTGCAATTTTATAGTAGGAGGGATTTAGACTCCTGTCACCGTATGTATGAATGTGTTTGAGTAAGAATTAACAGAGCAGACCCTATGCAAAAAGTAAACATTATGCATTTGCCTTGCAAATGTTACCTTTGTACTGTTTCTTTTTAATTTTGATATCTACTATTTAATTTTGATATTTGAAAAAAAGAGGGGTCGTGTGGCGCGATGGCAGCGTTCGCGACTCGGAATCAAGAGGTCCCGGGTTCGAGTCCTGACACTTTACACGACTTTCCTCACTAGACTCAAGTGAAAATGAGTATTGCCTGTCCAGTATTCGTTTCTATGTGCGGGACACAACACCAGCAACAGCTGCCTCTGTTCTGCGTGTATTGCACTGTTGCAATTTTAATAAATCAAATAAAAAAAAGAGAGACTAACCTGATGGTACGGCGACGGAAACATCTCCAGAAGAACCAGTCTGCCCATGCGGCCGGCGTGTCGATGCGGAGCAGCCTCTTCAGCCAGGCCGGGGGAGGCTGCGCGCGGAAGCTGCCGAAGTGGAGACACAGGATCACCACGTTCATGGCGATCGCCAAGGCGTTCACGAACAAAACTGCGCCGAAGTACTTTCCTGAGGAAACACACAAACGTACAAATGATACATGTCATGTCTGAAAAGTACAAATCATATGTGTATATGTAGAAGTTGTGTTTTTTGGAAATATCCACATTCAGACTACTTGTAAAAAAGATGCCTGCCATGTTGATATCTTAATAGAAAATAGGATTGAACTGAAAATGCTTTTCAACAGATCAATGAAGGCCAAGTTGGGAATAACTTTGTTGGGTGAGGACGATGTATGACTCAACTAATTTGGCACGGTGGTGACATCAATTGTACTAATAGTAATAAGACTGCACTTAGATGCAAAGTTGTAATGTGTTTTTCTAACGGAAGAAACGTAATGATTTATTATATGTTACGAGTGGTAAAAATTGTCACTTCTTGTATTCTTTTGGTCAGTCTTTCCAAACTGACATCTGCTCGGTTTCCATTTATATGGTAATATATCTGACACCCAACTTTGGCCGTGTTTAAACGGAATCACCCATGCAAGGCGGTTTACATGTGGTTTACCCCGAAGCCGGTTTCAAGTGGCTCCATGTGAACGCTCCGAAATCACAAGAGCCTCGATCCCAAGCCACTTCTACAGGTGGTTTCGAATCGGTTTTCCCGCATCGCGATTTGCGTCTGAACGCAATGTGATTTCAATGTAACTTCGCCTGGTCATGGATTACGGGGTGATATTTCTTTATTTATATGCAATGCCAACTTTTACGTGGCAGCATTTTAAAGAGCAGTAATGGTCAAATAATGTGTCCGTTCTGGGACGAGCTTCACCGCCTCTGGCGGGACCACGTCGGCATTCGGCCGAGATACGCTGGGAGGGGGGGCTTCAGCAAGCAGGTCGTTGACCTCTGACATTAATAACACGCCGCCTTGCGTGTTATCATCAAACAGCAATAAATGTAGCTCAAACGGATTGTGATCGGACACGGTTTGTGGCACGTGGACCAGATGTGAGGAATGTGAGTTACCCGAATCGCGGTTTGGGTGATTCCGTTTAAACACGGCCTAACTACGCAATGTAATACTCATGGGTATATTTCAGATAGCCTGTTTGTGTGGTTATGAAAATGAAAAGAAGATAATTGGGAAAATTTTACATTTGTTGAACACATTATTACGATGTAAATATTAATATTCGTACCAAATGTCAATTTGTAAATAGCCTTATCTATTGATGTGAAAAGTATGCAATTCAGCCACTTTACCTGGCTGCGATGAGCTTTCTAAGGATCATGTTGTTCAAATAAACCATTCATTCATTCATTCAGCTTTAGTCTTACCAATAATAGGCACGTAGGATGATGTCTTGGGCAGCTGACCGGCCACCACCTCCATGTTGACCGTGTTAGCCAGCAGAGCGGTCAGAACCATCGTCATTCTCTCCCCGGACTCAGGCGGTGTCAGGAAACCCAGCAAACTGCAAAGTTACAACATAACAGATTTATACAAATATATGAAAAGCATCGGTAAATAAAGTCATCAGGATGGTAAATGGCTGAATATCAAAGTTGTTTATTTTCTATCCACAACCACTTTTACACAAGAACCAACGTTTCTATGTCATCTTCATCAGGGCAATTCTGGCTGGCACTACACTGTTTCTGTTATCGACGATATTTCGTAGTTATAATTGTAGGATACATTGATTTTGTAGTATTGTTTATTTACAGTCATACATTGTACCGTGTGCGATTGTCGAGCAATAGAGTTTATAACAGTGAGCAGATTATTATTGTAATGAGCAGAGCACTTTGGACTAATGCCTCTGGCTATTTACAGCTTAGAGGTACATATCTAATATTTTGTCAAAAACTTCTCTGTTACATAGCGGATCATAATGACCCCCAGCGGGAGTCTTAACGCTTCGTTAAAAATAGAAAAATCTCAAGATGTATTCCAAAGATCTCAATATTTTAGATGAAATCTTGAGATATTATGAGACAATCTTGAGATTTTTCATGACATTCTCAAGATCTTTCAGAACATCTTAAGATGAAAACGAAAGGTCTCAAGATCTTTCCAAGATGCTGTCAAAGCAACTAGAGATTTTTTCATTGTATCTCGAGATGATTTAAAAATATCAAGATTATTGAAAAAATCTCAAGATTGCTTAATAAATCATGAGATCTTTAAAAAAAATCTTGATATTTTTTAAAGCATCTCGAGATGCTATGGAAAAATCTCAAGATGGTTTTAAGATATCTTGGAAGTTCTTAAGACCTTTCGTTTTCATCTTAAGATTTTCTGAAAGATCTTTAGATTGTCTCATAATATCTCAAGATTTCATCTAAAATATTGAGATCTTTGGAATACATCTTGAGATTTTTCTATTTTTAACGAAGCGTGAAGACCCCCACTGGGGGTCATTATGATCCGCTATGTAACAGAGATGTTTTTGACAAAATATTAGATATGTACCTCTAAGCTGTAAACAGCCAGAGGCATTAGTCCAAAGTGCTCTGCTCATTCCAATAATAATCTGCTCACTGTTTTATTCATTCATCTCTATGTCAATATTACTCTTACACATTTAGAACCTTCCCTCGACCACCAATGAACTAATGTTGAGTAAAGTTTGGGAGCAGTCTGACCATATTTAGCTAGCTTACGCGTAACTTTTGATACTAAATCGGGAATCAAATCTGACCTCCAACCGCCAGTCAACCATGGCCAGCCAAATAATAGCAGTGTTTGGGAGGCCATACTCAGCTATGTGTGACTGGGGCTAAAGGCAGATATACTAGTAGTAGTAGTTCACTGTACATACTAGTACATACCTGATTAACATGAGCACACTGGCAGGTACGAAGATGTAGTACTGGTAGTAGAACGGCATTCGGTTCATCACTAGGGTAAAGGTGACGTCAGGATAGGGTTCTGGGCAGCAGCTGGAAACAAAAGAAATACATCTCTTAAGTCTCAACTGTCTTATACTCGTATTTAGTCAAACAGGCAGATTCCTCCCACACCTATATAGGGTGCATAGGGTGGCAGCTACTCCCCTCTCTGTAGCTCTTGAGCCATCAATACAATTAGTACAACACAAGTAGTAGTAGTAGTAGTAGTAATAGTAGTAGTAGTAAAAATGCTTTTTCTTGTTTTCCTTGTACAAAGAAATGGTATCAAGTAGCAAGATAATAATTCTTTGAACAAGAAATTAAGGAATCCCTGTAGCAAGAAAATTCAAGAAAGACATGTGTTTCTTGAGTTTTCTTGCTGCAGCAAGAAAACGATTCTGCCCACAAGAAAATATTTCTTGAACTAAGAGCTAACTGTTCTTGAAGCAAGAAAACCATTCTGTACACAAAAAGATCTCTTGTAGCAGAAAAAAATACTGTTAACTTTTTAAAAATTGTTAAGATTCTTGTTGGTGAGCATGATAGTAGAAATATTTTCTTTTCTTAAGACAAAAGAAGAATAAAATTCTTTGTGTAAGAATCAACATACAAAATCTTTGAAGAATGTTTCTTGAATTTTCTTTAAAATCATCCCTTGCAAGAAAATATTTCTCAACATAAGAAAATAAGAAATATAAGAAAAAACATTTTTGGTACTGTAGTAGTAGTAGTAGTAGTAGTAGTAGTAGTAGTAGTAGTAGTAGTAGCAGTAGCAATAGTAGTAGTAATAGTAGTTCAGTACTTCTAAAATATTGAGTACTAAGAAGAGAAAGCAGTAGATGCCCATTAATTAAGTCTTTGTTTTATGCATGTGAGGATGAACTGAACTGAACTGTATGACTCGGCCAGGGAAATAAATGTAACAGACGACCTACCAAATGCAAGGCAACCACTTGGGCATTTCTCCGGTAGTTATATTATATTTAGCTAAGAATAACTGTAATAATTCAGTATTTGATAGCCTCCTTCGCAGTCTTGTTGGGCGTTGGCGTTATTTTTTCTCTGAGCGACGCGAATAATATGCCGCCGCGAGGGACGATTTGCTGCCGAAGGAGTTTTTGCCACAGAGAGAAGGTTTCGTGCTCCAACAAGCGCGAAACCTTCTCTCCGTGGCAAAAACCTCCTCGGCAGCAAATCGTCCCTCGCGGCGGCATATTACTCGCGTCGCTCAGAGACAAAGAAAATGCCGACGCCCAACAAGACTGCGAAGGAGGCTAAGTATTTGATAGCTATTGTGAAAAATCCCCTACTTGTAGTAATGAACGTGTCTCTCTGCCATGAGATCAGTGACGATCCACTCTTCACTGGAAGCCAGGTTGGTTATGTCTCCCTTTGAGAACCTAGAAACAATATTTCAGTTATTAGGTTCCCTTCACATTTATAGCAAAACTTTTTATAGTTGCATAGAGTGTGTATATATATATAACCTAGCTTTTCCCTAGAACTACATCACAATGGAACAAGCTTCCTTCTCGATGCCTCCCAAATATGTACAAACTTTTCAAGACTTAGGCCACACCAATTTAATTTGTTGGTTCTCGGATTTTTTCAGAAAAAATATGAAGCGACAGGGCGAAAAAAAATAAAAATAAAAACAGGTCTAGGCATCCCATTATAGGCTTAAATGCTACGGAATGAGCCATGAAGTCAACACAAAAGGCTGGGTTAAAATTTAAACATTGAATTTTAAACTTTTAATCAAACCACTGCAATGATAGATGGGGAAACTGTAACAACTAGGAAGAAAAGGACTTTTCTCAACTGTTGGGGGCAATATTTTTTTTGCAAATCAGAAAAAAACGACGAGGCGAATCCGAGAACCAACAAATTAAATTGGTGTGGCCTTAGGTGAGCAAACATCTGCTTTTACAGTTTCAAATGTAACTCAAAACAACCAAAAAAGTGGTTCGTATTAGCCTTGTTTTGCGGTAGAAATTGAAGTAAATAAAAATTTATATTCACATTGTAGACACTCTTATATACATGTATTAAAATCGGACCAACAGAGATCCCGATTGGAGTCGGCAAATCGGAAGATATTCGCTTTAAATCAGATTTTTAAAACTTTGATTCATAGACTTGGAAGTTAGAATCTGTAAATGGGAAACTCTCCCTACGTAGCACTCCCTAATACCCTCCTGTTTGGAGTCTCTTTCTACAAATAATCTGATCAGGATTTCAACCCGTAGAATCAGCGATTCTATTTCACCAGAGTATATAATCTGACAGATACATATAAGAAAATAAAACCATCAAATACATTATAAAAAGAGATTACCATGTGCGTTTATTTGAAAGGGTAGACAACCATAAACTGAAGAAAAAAAACTGAAATGATCTGAAACGTTTTCGCCAATATTACAAGGCACCCAAAATACCTATTGTTCGTATTGGCCAGGCCTGGGGAGCATGCCACGCCCTAAAAAAGGTGTGGAAGGCCCCCATCCAGAATACCACAAAGTTAAAAGTCTTTAAGTCTTGTGTAGAGCCTATTTTGTTGTATAGTTCCGACTCATGGACTTTAACTAAAGCCTTGTCCAAGAAACTGAATGGTAACTACACGCGCCTGCTTCGGTGCGGTGCGTGCTGAATGTTCAATGGCAGAGCCGCATGAGTAACAAATAACTCTACAACGGTCTACCCCTGATTACCAAGACCATTCAGAACAGACGACTGGCCCTTGCCGGTCATGTGGTACGCCACGAAGAGATGGCTGCCAAAGTGCTTCTCTGGCAACCGGATGTAAAAAGAAGGAGGGGACGTCCGTGCCTAACGTTAAAGAAACTGATCGAGGAAGAGGTTGGACTACGGGATGAGGAACTTCTGTCCGCCATGCGTGACAGAGTCATCTGGAGAGACATTATAAATGGCACCTCAAAAGAGGATGACCTGAACTGAACTGAACTGAACTGAAAATACCTACCGATTGACGAGGTCCAGTTTAAGTCCGTCGTACGACCAGGAGCCGAACTTGAGCGGGCAGACTTGTCTGTCCTCCGGGAAGTACACGATATTGACCCGACAGGCGGCCTTGAACGTGAAGGGGTACAGGAAGGCTACCGAACCGTCCGGTCGGATGGTCGCCTTGAAGTCGGGAGTCTCCCCATATCCCTCCTCAAACACACTGTAGAAAGATCCCAGAAATCATTTATAGTGTGTATAAAAGTCATAAAATACTTAAAGACATCCAGTGCAGTTTTTAAGGCTTGTAAACCAGCTTTTCAGTCAATATTCTAGTTACTTTTTTACATACTAAACAGAAACAACACTGTCCTAATATGTATGAACATTCATAGAACAGAAATGCCCAAAAAGGTGCAAATGTGGGACAGTATGTGTCAATACCGTACAGATTACCTTATTCGGAATATTTCCAGGTTTGCTGCCCTGAAATTGCATTGGATGCCTTTTAAGAACGGCTTTCAATATATTAATGTATTATACAGAACTAAATAACCAAATGAAATATATTGGTCAACAGTACATGGTTCATGTATGGCAGCATGACAATGTGATCAATACAGTAAAACTAATAAACTACAGATTAAACTTCCAACCTATATTGTACTCCTAACCGTGGTTGGGGGTTTGGTAGTGTTCTGGACCATATTCGGATTTGTGTTATAGGGACTTGGGGATTATTTTTGTCGGCATTTGTTTTTTTTTCACGTGGTCAATCCTACTTGCTGAAAGACGCGTGTTACTATGGACGCTATATTATATGGTTATAGTGTACAATACATGTACCTGTTATACAAAACTATGTCCGGATTCCAAATGTTGCTGCTCTGGACTCGAAGTAAGTCAACCCCGTCGTACTTCGATGGATCCCACTGCAAAAACTGGTCGGTCCAAAACTAAAACAAACAAACAAGCAAACAAGCAAACAAACGAATAAATAAACGTCTGATACTGTCGTTGTACAGAACAAATGTCAAATCATAATACGAAACTCCAAAATAGCCCAATTCGATTGTAACACCATATTCAATTCTATTATTTCAAGTGCTTTATCTTATTTTTAAAACGCCCGATAGCTGTTTCCATACATTATACTATGTACGACATTTGTACAATAAAGTTATTGTGTGATAGATTTCAGAACAGAGCATTAAAAGACATTGAACCTATAAATTATTGACAACCTATATGTCCAGTCTACAAACATGTTTGCTTACCAGTCTCATCCAGAGGTTGACTGTGAGCATATGATTCCTGTCGTCCTTTATGTGAAGAAGAAAAAAAAACACACAACCATTTCAAAGACTTCTTCCAAAACCAAGAAATATTATTTCTTCTAAACATAACCGCTACATGTTAATTGTGTTTGGAAGTGTTTCTTGTGCTTTAAAATGTTTGTTCAGGTCTGTAATTAACATGCTACGAATTCCCTGTATCATTGGTAACGTATACCATTTGCAAGGTTAGATCATTTTTGCGCAGTTTCCAAAACTATAAAGCAGCAAGGTGTTGACCGCCATGAACGTGTTATTAAATCATTGCTCAGTTTTAATGCTATATGAGAGTTTTTATCAGCATGAGTTTATTGTATTGAGTTTTCTGTAGTACTGTTAGACGTACATGTACAAAGTCAAAAGAAGTTCCACAGGCGCTAGGCAAACATCACATCGTTCAAAGGGTCTCTACAGCTGCAGTACCAGGGCCCAGTTCTGTGGAACCAACTTTCCAGAGAGCAAAGACAGCTCTCAACTTTAACGGCTTTCAAAGACTCTCCGTGAGTGGGACTTGAGTGGCATATGTTTTTACGATTGGTATGTATGTTGAATTGAAATTGTAATGTATATTCTTACTGTGTATTCTTATTTTCCCATGTATACTGTGCATTTTATGTAATACTATGTAACGCCAGGGATTCCTGAAATCCAGGTCAGTTAGGCCTGAGTGTACTACGCTGGTTAAATAAAATAAAAAATAAATGAAAAGTTACTTGGGAGGGTCTATAGACCTCTTGATACAACCACGATAAGACTGGATACCAGGCTAGGACATACCAGATGTAGGTATTCCGCCACGGCGACGTCAATGGTAACGTTGACGGGGTCTGACATGTTCCTGACGGGACGGCGGTCCGTGTTGTACCCCTCCAGCAGGTCCATGATCAGCCGCTCCTCGGACGACTGCACTTCGCTGCCCGATGTGACTGCAAAAAAATAAAAAAGATTTTAGATGTAGAATTTGTAAATATTGTAGTGCAAATGCTGTGGAAGACGAAATACATTTTATTTCAAACTGTTCATTCCATAACAACGCTCGAAATGAGTTGACTATTCAAACTTCTACAATTTATCCCAATTTCTCTAAACTTACAGATCAAGGAAAAATATTCTTTTTTTAACTTCCCAAAACCCACGAATTCTGGGAAAGGTGGGACATTACGTCTTCCATGGTTTACGCAGAAGAGAAGTCAAACCCTTCAGACATAGTTTAGACATAGTTATAGTTCTGGACAGCTACCTTTTATCATGTAGACTTTAGTTATTTTATACACTGTTCCAATTGTCTTTCATGTTTTGTAATTTGTGAGTAGCTTCCGGGCACGAATTTGCAATAAACTTTTCGATATATGGAATATCTTATTGCATATTTTGGAAGTGGTATCTGCCATATGAGCTCGTGACGCGGTCAAAGCTGTGATAAAAATATCGTAATGCTATGCAGCGCTAGCCAAATCATTAAAATGTTCTTCATAATTATGCAAACTAAGTTCTTATTTGAATAGACATCATGCCATGTATTACCATGTGAAGAGAACCCAAATCAATTACATTTTTTTTAGTTTTAAAGGTTCTTACAATAAATAACATCGTAGTTGATAAAAAAATTCTAAGAAGGCCAAAACTTTCACTTTTTTGGACAGCTATTACTTACTGAATATCAAAACCAGGACATATACCTGGAACACGAGACATTGAAACTTGAAGTCCGATTGCAATACTCTAGAAAGCCACTAGGGGGCCGGTATTCGAATTTTGGCCCATTGTCTTGCCAATACCAAATATCGTGATGCTATATGATCCATCCATATATTTTCGAATTATTCTCTTCCAAACCAAGACGCTACAAAAAATACAAATCATCTAAACCAAAAACATAACGTTGATTTTTGAAGATAATTACCATTAACGCTGGTAACGATTTGAAGTAAGACCATAGGTGAACAAATACGGTATCCAATCTATCGTAGTTTGGGCAGGCTCTCTTCGGGGCTGCTGAAGCTGCCCACCGCCCGTCTTAACTAGGTTTCCCGGTAAAGGTTTGCAAGGCGAGAGTTCAATGAACTCCTGCCGTGCAAACTCCCTACGGGTGCCTAGTTGAATCGGACGGTGAAGAGCTCCTGCAGCCCCGAAGAGAGACCGCTGAAACTACGATAGACTGAATACCAGGCACACCTTCGACTCGTACAATTAGAATAAGTAGGGGAAGAGTCTTATGTGTTATTCAGTCTTTTTTCATTGCCCTTTTGGGTACGTTTTCAAGCAAAGTCACAAGTAATGACATTACTGACGCAATAGGGTGTGTGCAAAAGCAGATAGCCTTTGACCTACGGAATATGTTTTCGCACAACGCAGAGAATACAATGTATAGTTACGTATTATATAAAATTCGATAAAAATTACTAAATTTGTGTTCAGAAAGTTAATTGCACTGTATACTGTAAAACAGCCGGAGTATTTTTTTAGTGATCAAGACTCTTAATGTTTACATGCATTTGAAAATGAAATCATTTGACCTAATGAGTTGGAAATAATGCTATTCAGACAAGGTGTCTCACTCTCAAGTATATACTGTCGCATTGAAATCTGCTGCTGTATCGAAAAATTGGATTTATATCATTGCAATGTATTTTTACCTGCATTTTGACCAATATAAGAATTTAAATATCGATATTATTAAAGAAAATATCGACGCCAACATTTTGTCTGTTTCCCCCGTGGCTATGTGTACAGACAGACAGTACAATGTTCGCCGCGCCCCATTTTTCGAAGTTCATTGAACCTCCTTACGGCTATACATTTTACTGTGCGATTTGGCTTGAGTATTTACCTGTGTTTAGGCATTGTTGTTCGCACATTGTACATGCATTAGATGCAGGATTAGTCTTTTTCTACAGTCTATAGTTGATTGACATTTTGAAAGCCTCCACCAGGCCTTCCTACGGAGGTACGGATCGTAGAATTCGGCAAAAAGGGACACTCTGAGGGAGGGTTAACCTAACTGAGGGAGGGTTAACCTAACTGAGGGAGGGTTAACCTAACTGAGGGAGGGTTAACCTAACTGAGGGAGGGTTAACCTAACTGAGGGAGGGTTAACCTAACTGAGGGAGGGTTAACCTAACCGAGGGAGGGTTAACCTAACCGAGGGAGGGTTAACCTAACTGAGGGAGGGTTAACCTAACTGAGGGAGGGTTAACCTAACTGCGAGGGCAAATAAATGTCACTTGTCGTCTGAAATTCAATTGTCCTGTTATAAAAAAGTGACCATTTTCGTCGCTTTGGGTCCCCCCTCGGAAAGACGGTGGACGATTGAACACCACCAGGAGTATGTGGGTCAATCTTAAAGCTATCTCTGTCCTACTTAAAGGAAGTAGGGAAACCACCGGGCCACATACCTGACGTCTTCATACCTATTTCTGTAACTTCCTGTTTTTATTGACCTTTTCATAGTTTTCCTCATAGTTTCAGATCTTGAGGAAATACCCCTGCCCCCTTCGATGACCACAGCTCCTTCCTGCACGTGCACATTTACCACAAGTCGTCCTACACTTTATGATTCGGGCGCCAAAGTAATAGTGGCAGAACAAACTGCGGACAAGAATCTTACTTAGGTAGCCTTTTTCGTAACAAAACAGTTGTATTGTTCAAAACTATTCCGAGTATGAATTCAGTTTGTTGTTTAATCAAACAATGTACGTGACCGAGACGATACTCATTTTTCCCCTTTTCTTCGCAAAAACAACAATAAAATACATGACGACAATGATTCGAAATCTGCCGGACATTTGTAGCAAGCCTTGAAGTATATAGTTAAGCCCAAAAATATAAGTTAGGCCCCTTCCGTCCTGTGTTTAAGTCCCTCCCCCTCTTTTTGAACTCCTCTCGCACACAGTGAATTATGTAACATGAACGTTTTATTATAAACATTTAATGACTAGACATGTCGACGGCACACTCAAGTTACATCAACTTATTTTATGCCGCTACCAACACAGAGTACAGGACAGGACAATACTCATTTTTACTTGAATTAAGTGAGGAAAGTCGTGTAAAGTGCCTTTCCCAAGGGCACAAGATCGGTGGCATTGTCAGGACTCGAACCCGGGACCTCTTGTTTCCGAGTCGAGCGCTCTGCCGCTACGCCACCCGACCCCACTGACATGAACGTTAGACTCACCATGCAACATGACGGCTACGGCGACAAACACGACAAGCGACGTCTTCATACTTCGCCACGTTTTCTTCACAACTCTGAGCAGGGAATGAGACTGGTACCTGCGACAAAAACAAATTCTTAACCGCCAATCTAACCCTTCAAATGAGAGTTAGTTCAATTAATTTCTACGTTTCTAGGCATTTCCGTGGATAGTTACTGTAGCATCGTTTAATCTTGTGTTTAAGATCACCCGATGTCTACTATACTAAAGTTTAAGTCAAAGAAAGGAATCCAAAGCATAAGAATGGCAGGTCAGAAAAAAAAAGTTGTAGCCAACAAACTCACGTCTTGTCTCTGTCAGTTCGCGTCTTCAACTAAAACAGTGTGGACAGATATAGTCACAAACAATAGCTCGTTCACTGCCCAATGAACACGCCCATATCTTGTAGTTTTCCGATAACGATCAACTCAGTGTCAACCAATAGGGGCTGTTTTTAGGGGTCAACCTTTCCACCGACAGTGAAAACATAATTTGGCCTGTCTTTTGTTATGCAGTGGAGCAGTTTAGGTGGTAATTTTCCGTGCGTCATTGCCCAAAGGCGGTTTCTAACCATCTAACCAATGGGGAAAGTACCGGGTCACATAACTGACATCTGTGTCTATTTTTGTTATGTGACGTCGTGATGCGTTACATACCCTCAGGCACTGTCTCAGGTGGGACGGTCTGACGCCCGTGTACACAACTTTCCCCGAACAACAAACAGCAAAAGTTTCGGAGCCTGGCCAGAGTTACGTCACACCTACTTCTCAGTACGAATCTAATCGATTTTGAGTTAAATTTGAGTCATTTTTTTTATATTCCAACGTGCAATCACAAGACGTGGTAACGTTACACTCAAGTTTTGTCAACTTATATTAATGCCGTCACGAACACAGGGGGCGATACAATACTACTAGGAGTCAAATTCTACCTCTAAACAGGCAAACAACACAGCTCATGTACTGCCGAACACCATCCAAACATTATTGAACCTCCCCGTTTACACTCGAATGTTTGAAACATAACGAAACATTTAGCTGCGGCGTAGCCGAACTCAAGAAGACAATTATCTCTTTTGTATGTCATGGCGTATGGTAAACACAGTGCGAAGGTCATGTTTTGATGTTTTTTTTCTTAATTGTATCGGTGCAAAAATGTACGATTTATCCAAATCTGTTTGCCTTTCCCAAAACATGATATAGTAATTTAGTATCTTAGCACAGTTAATATCCTTTTAACATGGTTACAGTCTGAACGTAAACTATCATTGGTTGGATATGCCCCC